CGTCTTTCGCACAGCACCCGGGCCTGGTGCTCGCCGCACTGTTTTGGGAGGATTCAGCCGATGAAGGACGAGGCTTTCTGGACGACCGCGCTCCACGAGACCGAGCCACTGCTCCCACTGCATAGCCTTAGTTGGATCTGCATCATCGGTACGGGTCTTGTTGAAGGTGGCCTCGTCACCTTCCACGTCGACCCAGGAAATACCATCGCCCAGTTTCATGGTCTTTTGCCGCTCCTCTACGAAATCCTTGCGCAGTGTCATGAGGCTCTTGTCCATGTCCTCTATGGCCTTGTGGTTGATGCCCAGAAGCTTATGTGCCTGCGCATTGGATGCCTCAGTGAGCTTGAGAAGAAGCGCCGATGCCTGGACCTGCAGACTGTGGCCTTCGGGACCACGGCATTCCTTGAAGAATGGGTGGAGGTAGTGCGGGTTCATGTACTGGAGGCACTTGTAGTGGCTGCACCTGTACTTCACGGAGGAGGCAAGACCAGGTTTGGAGATTGGGCCTGAAAGGGTACCACGCTCACACCGAGGGCATGTGCGACCTTTCCAATCCAACAAGATTTTATCCTCTGTGAGCATCTCAACAATGGCGGAGTTACTGGCATTGAGAAGTTCCGGTATAGTTCGACGCCAGTGTGTTTGCTCATGGCGAAGACCACGAGCACCAACTGGAGCAGGAACCCGAACATACGCGACGGACTTGTATTCCTTGGACTTGGTAGAAGCTGGGCGTTTGAGCGCACTGCGGAATTTCCCCTTCTTCGGAACAAAGGAGCTCGGCTTCTTCTGCATCTTGGGAGCCATGTGTGCGACAACTACTGCACAGATCAAAACCAAGGTCAACACCGTGCAGCCGAAATAGTACTGCGGCAAGTCAAGCTGCAAGATCTAGGATGAACACAAAGCAGACTGCTGAAAGCCTTACATTGGTCAAAGTGCTGCTAGCTCTGTCCCAACACGGCTTTTTTTCTTGGACGCACAAAAATGATGCGGCTCATACAAGGCATCTCAGCCATGCAGGAAGCGAGCTGCGTCCTCGTCCCCCTCATCAACATCCATCTCGTCTCCGGAATCATCGGCTGGATCGGCATGTTCCTGGTGTGAGGCCGCCTCCACCATGTCCTCTCCGCCCTCATTGGCAGCTGGGATGTCTTCGTGCTCAGCATTGTGTGAAGAGGAGGCCGGGACGATCGGAGTCGTGGGAGGCATAGAGGACTTGGACCTGATTCTGCGTAGTTTTTGAGCAGGTGAGTCACCGAAGTGGAACCGGCTACGGTCAACGCGATTGGGCGCGGCGCCTGTCCCAATGTGCCGTGAGAGATGAAGACCACCCATTGCAGCAGCCGGCTGTGTGTTTTCAGGCGAGTCCGGCGAATCTGGAAGTACACGAACTGGACGAAGCCACTCCTGCAGCTTGCTATTGCAGTTCTCTATGTAGTCTTGGATCCTGGGGAAGCTGTTCATGTACTCCACACGCGAGTCGATCATGGCTTGCTCCCTCTGAACATCTTCCTCAAATGTCGGTCCATACATGGTAACGCCCTGCTTGTAGGACGCATAGAGTCCTTTATCTCTGTCTGCGAGAAGGTCTAGGTAGAGACTCTCTTTGACAATGCGGTGTACAATCGCCTTGGGCTGCTCAGAGGGGAAACGGATGTACAGAGCTTTCTCTGTGAAGACAAGGGTTGTGACACGCTTCATGACCGCAAGGATATCCTTTATGTGATCCTCGTCATTGAACATCGGCTTGATGAGTTGAAAGAAGGCCCCGGAATCGAGAGTGGTGTCCGACGGCAGCACATCAGACGGCTCCGTGCCAGCGTCGTTGGAAGCCATGGCTCTCATTTGGTTACGGGTCATGCGGGCATCGTTGTACCTGCCGCTCACAGTACCATCTTCGTCTGAAGTGAAGAATGCCTTGAGGTCCGCAATGTCGCTTCGTCTACGTGAAGGATCATCCAGGAATAGAGCTTCTTGGATTTGGGGTGCACGCTGCCTGAAATTGTCCAAGCTCTTGCCACGCCGCCAGCCTGGTTTGACGCCTTGTAGTTGAAGTCGTCTGACATGGTACCTTCCGATGGCCATGCACATGACGATGATGGCTGGTGTCTTCCCCACACCAGGAGTGCCCAACATCAGCAGTGCAGTGCTCATCAAGAGGGGGTAGATGAGAGGCAACACGTGGTCGACGAAGGGGAGGCGGAGGCTATACGTGGTGAGTGGAAATTCCATCTTCGGAACAGCCCCGGACATACCCCGGGACTTGTTCTGGCACATGCTCCGGACTTTCACCTCGGGCCACCCGGCAATGGGAGATCCTGAGTCTGTCTTGATGTTGGTTAATACCCAGTACGTCTGTTCGTTGAGTCCACCGCATTCTGGTGCGTGTTCATTGATGTAGCGGATGCCGGCGGAGAGTTCATCGTCCTCAGGCGACCATTGGGCAGACGCGGAGCGCTGCAACCTCTGCTCGTGCTTGTCCTCTAGGGCATGCCACCTGACATGAGTGCCGGCAACCTTGTTGAGAGCCTTCTGAATGGCTTTCTTGACGGTCCAGGGCCCCTGACGGAAGACCGGCACATGTCCATGACCACTGCATAGTTGTAGTGCGATGCTGCTCGGGATTGGTTTCTCGAAATAGATAACCTTCAAGATACTCACCAACCCATCGCCAGTGTTGTCGACGATGATGTCAACTTTGGCACTGTCCGGGAGGGCCGTCGAGAATTGGATGGGGCGAGGCAACTTACCGAAACTGTTCTCGGCAACAAGCTTGGTGAGTGTTGAAGTACTAGCGAACTCTTGGACAGAGACGTGTGCATCAAAGAGGACGGCGACGGTTTTCACAATTTTTGGATCCAGAGGACGGCACACACCAGAAATGAAGCCTTCAATGGAGTTGCTGCCCTCCTGTTCCTGGGCGAAGGTGTCGGGGTTTGCCAACAAGCGGATGCTCCACCTTTTGTCCGACACCTCATTCATGGCCTGATCAAGCAAACTCCCCGACATGATGGTGGGCGAGGAGAGAACTAGAACACTAGGCAGGTTGCTGGCTTGATAGTCACAATGCTTAGCCGGTAATCATGCATAATTCCCAATTGCAGCAACGTCCACACAGATATGTGCATGATAGGTACGGTCATGACAGCATAACGCCCCTTGCATCAGACAAAGCAGGCCTCGTCACATTTTCTAGCGCCGCTGGAAGAGTCTCACGTTTGCTGCATGACAAGTGGGACCGCTTCTTTACAAGTTCAGACCCAACGCCTCGTTCGCACGCCAAAGGTCGTCGCTTACCTCGGTGAGCAATCCTTCTAACTCACGAATGCGATCTCTCAAAGCAGACTTTGGCGTTGATGCGGATGACGAAGACGATCCCGATGAGGACGACGAGGCCGACGAGGACAAGTTGTTGCCGTCTGGGTTCGGCTTGGTCTCGGTCTCGGGGGCTGCCGGGTTCGCTATGTTATCAACCTCCATGATGTTGTCTGGCTCATCGCTGGGCTTAGTGTCCACAAGCATGGGTTCCGAGTCCGCATTCGCCGCCATGTTGATATCCATCGGTCCGTCTTCGTCTTTGGAATCCTCTAGAGCCAAATCAGAGTTCGCGTCCTGGATGGCCATAGGTTTCGGCTTTGGATGAGCCCTTTTTGCGGTAGCCAAAAGAAGCACGAGCTTGTAATCGGCCTTTAGATTCCAGCCGCCAGTAGATCCACGTGGCAATCCGAGTGCTTTTTGGATGTTGTTCATGCTCGTCTGCAACTCCTGCATCGTCACAGGCTCCCGACTGTCATGCACCACGACCTTCCCGCCCTGGATGGATTCCATAACCTTCGCGTCCGCGCGCTTAGTGGACTGAGGCCATGGAATGGGCGAACTTGCGGGTTCCGGTGCCGAGGATTGCGAGGACGAGGATGCATTCGTGGGGACGAGGCGAAGATAAGCTGCGCCATCATCGAACTTCACGACACCCGCGACGTGCATTTCGGCCATGGCCACGAAGCTTCAGGAAGCAAACGGAGCAGGAGGACCACGGTGCGACGAAAGCAGATACAGCTCGCGGAATGAGCACGAACTGAACAATAATGTTAAAGCATAGTGAAAGACTGCATTGTCATGACATGGTGACACAAGGATGGTGTGATGCACGATTGACTTCAGGATGTGGTCTGAGGGGGCCCATCGTGATCAGAGCAAGCCCTATTGAGTTCAATAGGGCCTATTGAACTCAATAGGCCTCCCGGATTGAAGATTCAAGATTGAAGATCTCCCAGAAAACTTTTCCAGGGCATCTTCAATCTTCAATCTTCTATCCAGCAGCCCTATTGAGTTCAATAGGCCGTATTGAACTCAATAGGGCCTCAAAGATTGTGCAGCATGGCTTTGGATGTGCAGCAAGGCTGTGGATGTGCAGCAGGGCTTTAGGTTATGTATGCAAACGTGTATATAAACCTTTATGCGGGTTCTTGGCACCATGCCCCCCAAAGACCAACGACTAGTGGCTAATGTAAGTAGGCTTCTCTGTAAGTCGTCTTTGAAAACCTTGGTCTTTGGGGGGGGGGGGGTTACCATATAGCTACCCCCCCCCCCCAAAGACCAAGGTTTTCAAAGACGAACATTGGTGGATGTGTGCCGTCTCTGGGTCCGGATTGAGTGCAGAGGCATTGATTGCAGTATCGCGGCGAAGGTGATGAAAGAACATTCCGATTTGCAGTGCAGAACACTATGCAGCCGGCACAGGCAAGTTTCAGAAGGCGACTCCGCGGGAGACCGAGTCAAATCAGGTTGGGAGAGTGGGCCACATCAGCTGTCTGCCGTTTTGGAGGACACTGGAAGCAGCATGACAACCAGCAGCAAGCCTAGAATGGCACATGTGCAGTCAAGCCTGCCAAACTCAACACATGCACCACACTGGTCGCAAGAGCAAGGCTTTTCCGGTAGGCGCAACGATGGCTCTGGGCTCACAAAACTCCGACCGGCCTGTGTCGGCACGTGATTCACACCAGCTTCTGCATTGCCCAGGAGCATAGCTTCCCAGTCTCGACCCAAAGGTCCTCACTCCGCTTCCAGTAAAGGTACTGGGCATTGCGGACCTTCACCCTCATGAGGCTACTGCCGGTAATGCAATGCTGATTGAGGGAAATGCGATCCTTCATGTAGCGCCATGCTCTATCAATAATTTGGGTGCCTGCCTTGGTCTTCAAAGGCTTCGTGCGACCTGGAACTTTATGGGTTGTAACCCTGACATATGTTGGGGCCTTCCACACAAACTTGCCTCTAACCTTGACACGCTTCTTGGCGTGAACAACATTGTCATGAACCACCCCATCGACACGGATCTTATAGCTTCTAGCCGAGTCCGTGTGGAAAATGACAGAGCGGCCCCTCAGGTACTTGTTGGCCAAGGGCACCCATTCCGTCTTTCGCACAGCACCCGGGCCTGGTGCTCGCCGCACTGTTTTGGGAGGATTCAGCCGATGAAGGACGAGGCTTTCTGGACGACCGCGCTCCACGAGACCGAGCCACTGCTCCCACTGCATAGCCTTAGTTGGATCTGCATCATCGGTACGGGTCTTGTTGAAGGTGGCCTCGTCACCTTCCACGTCGACCCAGGAAATACCATCGCCCAGTTTCATGGTCTTTTGCCGCTCCTCTACGAAATCCTTGCGCAGTGTCATGAGGCTCTTGTCCATGTCCTCTATGGCCTTGTGGTTGATGCCCAGAAGCTTATGTGCCTGCGCATTGGATGCCTCAGTGAGCTTGAGAAGAAGCGCCGATGCCTGGACCTGCAGACTGTGGCCTTCGGGACCACGGCATTCCTTGAAGAATGGGTGGAGGTAGTGCGGGTTCATGTACTGGAGGCACTTGTAGTGGCTGCACCTGTACTTCACGGAGGAGGCAAGACCAGGTTTGGAGATTGGGCCTGAAAGGGTACCACGCTCACACCGAGGGCATGTGCGACCTTTCCAATCCAACAAGATTTTATCCTCTGTGAGCATCTCAACAATGGCGGAGTTACTGGCATTGAGAAGTTCCGGTATAGTTCGACGCCAGTGTGTTTGCTCATGGCGAAGACCACGAGCACCAACTGGAGCAGGAACCCGAACATACGCGACGGACTTGTATTCCTTGGACTTGGTAGAAGCTGGGCGTTTGAGCGCACTGCGGAATTTCCCCTTCTTCGGAACAAAGGAGCTCGGCTTCTTCTGCATCTTGGGAGCCATGTGTGCGACAACTACTGCACAGATCAAAACCAAGGTCAACACCGTGCAGCCGAAATAGTACTGCGGCAAGTCAAGCTGCAAGATCTAGGATGAACACAAAGCAGACTGCTGAAAGCCTTACATTGGTCAAAGTGCTGCTAGCTCTGTCCCAACACGGCTTTTTTTCTTGGACGCACAAAAATGATGCGGCTCATACAAGGCATCTCAGCCATGCAGGAAGCGAGCTGCGTCCTCGTCCCCCTCATCAACATCCATCTCGTCTCCGGAATCATCGGCTGGATCGGCATGTTCCTGGTGTGAGGCCGCCTCCACCATGTCCGCTCCGCCCTCATTGGCAGCTGGGATGTCTTCGTGCTCAGCATTGTGTGAAGAGGAGGCCGGGACGATCGGAGTCGTAGGAGGCATAGAGGACTTGGACCTGATTCTGCGTAGTTTTTGAGCAGGTGAGTCACCGAAGTGGAACCGGCTACGGTCAACGCGATTGGGCGCGGCGCCTGTCCCAATGTGCCGTGAGAGATGAAGACCACCCATTGCAGCAGCCGGCTGTGTGTTTTCAGGCGAGTCCGGCGAATCTGGAAGTACACGAACTGGACGAAGCCACTCCTGCAGCTTGCTATTGCAGTTCTCTATGTAGTCTTGGATCCTGGGGAAGCTGTTCATGTACTCCACACGCGAGTCGATCATGGCTTGCTCCCTCTGAACATCTTCCTCAAATGTCGGTCCATACATGGTGACGCCCTGCTTGTAGGACGCATAGAGTCCTTTATCTCTGTCTGCGAGAAGGTCTAGGTAGAGACTCTCTTTGACAATGCGGTGTACAATCGCCTTGGGCTGCTCAGAGGGGAAACGGATGTACAGAGCTTTCTCTGTGAAGACAAGGGTTGTGACACGCTTCATGACCGCAAGGATATCCTTTATGTGATCCTCGTCATTGAACATCGGCTTGATGAGTTGAAAGAAGGCCCCGGAATCGAGAGTGGTGTCCGACGGCAGCACATCAGACGGCTCCGTGCCAGCGTCGTTGGAAGCCATGGCTCTCATTTGGTTACGGGTCATGCGGGCATCGTTGTACCTGCCGCTCACAGTACCATCTTCGTCTGAAGTGAAGAATGCCTTGAGGTCCGCAATGTCGCTTCGTCTACGTGAAGGATCATCCAGGAATAGAGCTTCTTGGATTTGGGGTGCACGCTGCCTGAAATTGTCCAAGCTCTTGCCACGCCGCCAGCCTGGTTTGACGCCTTGTAGTTGAAGTCGTCTGACATGGTACCTTCCGATGGCCATGCACATGACGATGATGGCTGGTGTCTTCCCCACACCAGGAGTGCCCAACATCAGCAGTGCAGTGCTCATCAAGAGGGGGTAGATGAGAGGCAACACGTGGTCGACGAAGGGGAGGCGGAGGCTATACGTGGTGAGTGGAAATTCCATCTTCGGAACAGCCCCGGACATACCCCGGGACTTGTTCTGGCACATGCTCCGGACTTTCACCTCGGGCCACCCGGCAATGGGAGATCCTGAGTCTGTCTTGATGTTGGTTAATACCCAGTACGTCTGTTCGTTGAGTCCATCGCATGCTGGTGCGTGTTCATTGATGTAGCGGATGCCGGCGGAGAGTTCATCGTCCTCAGGCGACCATTGGGCAGACGCGGAGCGCTGCGAGACCGCGGAGTCGCCTTCTGAAACTTGCCTGTGCCGGCTGCATAGTGTTCTGCACTGCAAATCGGAATGTTCTTTCATCACCTTCGCCGCGATACTGCAATCAATGCCTCTGCACTCAATCCGGACCCAGAGACGGCACACATCCACCAATGTTCGTCTTTGAAAACCTTGGTCTTTGGGGGGGGGGGTACCATATATATATATATATATATATATTATGTGTGTGTGTACATATGCATACATACACTATATGGAACAAACACACACCGACACACAGCTCTATATGCATATGTATGGTAAGAGGCTAAAGGTTAGCTACTTGGGGGTTTCCGAAAATAGGGGACCCTAATATAGTACCCTAAGCATTAGGATCCTTATTATAAGGACCTCCAAAGTAAGGTACCCCCTAATTCTCGGAAACCCCCACTTGGCTACCAAAGCAACGGGTACCCGGCTGAGTTGTCTCGAGCATCATCGCCCTTTTCCGGCAGCTGAAAGCCTGGCATAGGGTTTCCTTTAAAGGATCTATAAGGGTACCTTTATAGGGTTTCCTTTAAAGGGATCTATAAGGGTACTTTTTAGTTGCTCTGAGCCTCCAATATCCCTTAATTAAGGAATATTCCTTAAATCATATAAGGGATCCTACTATAACTTAAGGTATATCCCTTAATTAAGGGATATTCCTTAAATCATATAAGCGATCCTACTATAACTTAAGGTATATTCCTTAATTAAGGGATATTGGAGTCTCTGGGTGGTTTATTACCAAACGCTTCGATCCTTCATTTGATGACCTCCTAATCAGGTACTTAGTTTAACAAGCCTCAAATTTATTGCTGGGAGCGTGATTTATCTGAAGCCTTTGTAGCTGAATTTCGGATGGTGATGAGCCGTGGGTTCAACCATTTTCTATGTATTGCGAGGGCTGGTGGGTGGAGCCACTTCATCACATGCAATTTTGGTCGATTTCGGTCTCACTTCATCATGGAGCCACTGCATCACCTGCAAATTTGCTCAGAGCTTCACGATTTCGGTCTTGTGCTCTGGTGTTCTCGGTTTTGGGGTGACTCAAAGGGGAAAAGGAGGGACCCTTAATGGGGACCCCTACCCTATAATGGGCTATATAATGGGTATATAATAGCTATATTAAGGCCTGTTCCCCTTTGAGTGACGGATTTCGGCTTGAGCGTTCTATGGAGCAACCCTTCTTTCTCGCCACTTGCTGCCCTACAGGGCCGACGCGAGATCCCAAGTCCTTGCCATGCCAAGGCTACATAACATTGCAAAACAGAGTCTCTTTAGAAAGCCATCCATCCCTTAGAAGTGGTCCCCCACCCTGTAATAGTGGTGTAGGGGCAGCTTCTAATCCATCCCCGACCTGGCTCCCTCTGGCCCGGCACTGCAGCTTTCGCTACTTTGACCGTCACCCGACTAATGACTCAGCAGCTCCGTGAGCTCTTGAAATGCGGGTTTTCCGGAAATAGGGGACCCTAAGATAGTACCCTAAATAGTAGGATCCATAGTATAAGGACCCCAAAATAAGGTACCCCTAATTCTCTGACACTCCCACTTGAAGGACAATCCGTGGAACCATGCGAACCCACAGAGGCCGCTTGGGCACCTGAGGCTCCAGAACGCCATCCTGGCGTTGGGATGCTTGAGCAGAACAGGCGTCCGGTTCAGCTCAAGATCCAGCTCTACCGTGGTTGGTTGCGTTTCGGATTGAAGTCTGAAAACTTGCTTAGGCAGGTTTAGAGTAATTCATCTCACGAACGACAGAATACCCTAGGCCGTAAGCCTCTGGAACCCGCGTTGCCACTAGTTGGTAAGCAGTATAGAATTCGGGTGTCGCTGGGCCTCAGCTAGGAGGGGCTTTTAAAGCCTTTGAAAAATGTTAGTAGGTATGATCCTCTGAATATACGTCGAAAGAAGACCTGCTTGTTGCGCGACATTCTGTGAACAGTGCGGCTGTGAAGAATGAAGCAAACGTGCCATTGCCCCTTGTGGAATTTCTGCTGGGCCGTGCTGGAGTGTCTTCTCGTTTTCGCTGCCGTGCTGGATGAAGATGCAGATCGTCCTAATCCTGGTCACGAGCCGTAACTTTGTACGCCAGGCACCGTTGGGATCGAAACAAAATGTGTGTTGTCATGCTTGTTGCCTGAATCATCGGTGGCCTCGATCTTGATCCACTGATCTCCAGCCTCCAAACCGAATTTTGCATGCACGAGGTCGAAGGGAACTTTGGCCATGACGTTGCTTTTCCCGTCCACGGTTTCTTCATTCCCCGTCACTCCCTTGTAGATGTCGGACCGCTGCTGGATACGGTGGGAGGCGAACACCTTCACTTTGGCGTCCTTGTTGCACTTGACGTGATAGTAGATCTTGTACTGCGTCAGCTGATCGCCGGCTTTCCAGTAAGCAGTGCTCCACTGATGCAAATTGCACTGTGGAGCAGAGAAGTCAGCGAAGTTCTCATCCGGCATAGCCGCGGCCATCTCACGTTCTTCGATCTGGTCGAGATTCGCGCCTCTCTGGAACTTGCCATACCCTCCGTCTGCATACTCGGGCCCCCATGAGTTCTTGAAACGCCAGAAATCTGCCTTCTGCTTGGGCTCCGTCCCCCAGCCTGTGAGCACGATAGCATGGCCGCCCACATTGGAGCCGCCACCGGTGTAGACTGGCTTCTCTTTCCAATTCCAATCCATGAATGCACTGGTTGTCGCGAAAGATGCATAGATGGGGCCATGCTCCATGATGTGCCTCTGCATATTCTTGACTGTGTCCGCTGTGCTGAGCCCGTCGGCCTTGTTCATTATGGAGAAGACCTGGGAAACGATTTTGCAAGAAGCTGGGGCGGAGGTGCTTGGTCTCACAGTCGTATACAGTTCGACTGGTCACTGACTAGGTTCGCACCTCTACACAAGCAAGGCCTGAGCCTGCACCTCTACCGACCGGAAAAACAAATTGCTTGTCGGTTGGCTGCAAAAGGTGTAGAAGCAGCGCACTTTGAAGGTGGTTGAGAATCCTGCTGGGCAATGTCACTGTCGGTGTCACTCTTTTCAGATTCTACAATCTACAGTGTCCATCCTGACACACCTGCAGGTTGCAGAGAGCTAGTGAGGCGAGAGAGAGAGAGAATATGTACATGTGAGCGAGAGAAGGACAGAGAGAGAGAGAGAGAGAGAGAGAGAGAGAGAGAGAATATGTACATGTGAGCGAGAGAAGGACAGAGAGAGAGAGAGAGAGAGAGGGAGAGAGAGAGAGAGAGACCTCGCTCGAGCGAGGTGAGCCTGAGCATGTTTGACAAAGTTGCCAGACTTCTTCTGGTGGGCTCCAGAAGCAGAAGCTTGTTCGGCCTAAAGGCATCAGTTGTTCTAAGTTGGCCTGTCCTGACATTTCATCTCCGTAGGCCGCTTTGAATGCGGAATGCAGCTGCAAGGCTTCTGGAAGAGCTGATAATCATCGTACCAGCCACAATGACCCATATTCATGGGATTCCTTGCTACCGGCATCGAAACTCAATAAAGCAACAAAACCAACTAAAGATACACACCAGGATGCGATTCCGCCTGCTTCCGCAGGCTTCTAAGCAAAGCCAAGGTTCACAACGCCGCCTTTGCTCTCCCAGCACTTGAAGATGTAGGGCTTGCATTTTGCTCCCATGCGCCAGAGCTTCAAGGATGGCTTGTGCCGTAACCTTCACTTTTTCTTTTAAAGGACCCTACAGCTAGAGTTAGGTACGGCCCCCATACAGCTATTATTAAGGTCCTACTATATCTATAATATGAATATTATTCAACTATTACTGAGTGGGGGCCGTACCCAAAGCTAAGGTTAAGTTGGGTCAGAAAAGCTCCGAAAGCATGAAGGTTCTCTCGTGGCCTGCTAGATGGACTTAATCACACGACAAACCTTCCACAATCTATCCGAGCACCAGTAGTTCCATATGGTCGCAACGTTCCCGCCGCTGCAGCCGCTCATCTCGCCATCATGGCTTTCCGAACAAGGTGCTAGTTCGGCTACCGACGGCAAATACTCGAATTCTGCATCAGCCCACTGGTTTTCGTCACGCTCGAACCTTTCAAGACTTGGGCACGTGCCACAGGACTTCTTGCAGTGTGTCCGCTGGCCATAATCAGGCAGGGACTTGCATCCTGGATCATGTTTCGCATAGGCTTCACAGCCCCAGGAGCGGTAGTCCGTCCACTTCGACGAGTCCTGGGAGAAGCATAAGAATTCAAAGCAACTCCCAACACAACAGGTAGGGGGCATCGACCTCTTAAGCCTGCGCTTGGGCGTTTATCTGCGTCTGTGGGTCCTTGCAGGACTCGGATGAGAGCCGTCGGGACTTCTTGTCAAGGCGACATTTCCGCTCCCCAATCATTGCTGCGAAGGCATGAGCATAGCATGAGCCACCTCAGTGGGTGCATATTGGTTCATTACAAGGCACGGAGATTCCAGTATGATGTCTATGTCTATGCCAATATTCGGGAGGGCATGCTAACTGCTTCTACGAGCCACACATCCCTTGATCAAGAATGGGAAGATGCGCGCATTCATCCTGTGGATGCCATTCCTCTGGTATGGCCGAATCGCTCTTGATGTGGCGCAGCATAATTGCTGACCGCGGCTGCTGACTTTTGAGTTGCCTTGGGGAGCTTTGCCCGGAGCGAGCTACCATCAACTCGGTGGCATCCGGCTCGATGTGGCCAAGCTTTCCTATCCTGGCATACAACCTCCGCACCGGCAAGTCCGAAGGCTTCTGAAGCATGTCGCAGACACTTCCGATGTCTTTGGGAAGCACAAGTTCGTCGAGGCAGGTTCCCCTCACCGCATCACAAACCTGCAGGATGTTCGCTTGAACTACCTTCTCGTCGGATTTGCCGTCGGGGAAGACATGCTCAACTTCCAGGATCAGCTCCGTCAGCAGACCGGCGTCAATGGACGTCTTGATTTGTTTTACACTGCCTCGGCTTTCCACTCAGGAATGAAGCTCGGGCTGCTTCTGCCATCTAATGCCATCTATGCAATATTCATACCTGCACGCCCTACGTCAAAGTGCACGAACCTCCGAACAGAAAGCAAACCCCATGCAGCCACTGCATACTCTGCAACATTCCCATACAGTCCTAGTGCAAGCCCCGTCCGGTGGTTCTCGCATGTGCCATATCCTCAAGAATCCACGGGTGCTCAAGTATCTTCTTGCTTTACGAGCTTCCCAGCTTTAGCCCCTCTTGGCGACCCAGGCATTTTTGCGTCTCCATGCGGTAGGCCAACCTGGCACACCCAACAGTTGTCACAGTTCTTACTGATCGTGCTCGCTGGTCTAGGGCCGATTCCTGTCTGCTGCGAAACAAATCGGCACGACCAGCGCTTCTAGCACAATTCCTACTGCCAGAATTAATAGATTTCCAACCTTGCTAGTGTCTGGCGCATCGGCCTTCTTGTGCCTAGTGCTGCTGGCATGGATATCACTAGCTTGGCAATTACAAGGTCATGAGGAAATCATGCTACATTGACACTTTGACGAGTCTCTAACATGTTCGCGCTGAATCTGGTGTGGCTACGTTTGGCTGTGCCCGTGCCATAGCTCACATCTCCAGGCTACCAAATAAGGAAAACTGGATCCATTTTGTCTGAGTTGTCCTTTAAGCCCTTTGAAAATTATTTTCTATTATGGTTCTCTGCATAATAGAATGGGAAATTAAGAAAGATCCCAAAGAACAACCCAGTTGTGGACAGGCAGCTCCGAAAGCACAAAGTGGGCACTGCGTTGTGCCAACTTGCCACTCGGTGGTAAGATTTCCGGCCCCGCTGGAATTCCCTCCTGTCACCGAAGGCTTGGCGCTGGAGCGAAGGCTTGGGGGATCGCAGGGAATTGTAAGGACTGCCCGGTGGGTAACCGAATGCATGCATTGGAGAACACCAATGTCATAGACGTCTAAAAGCTGCTTTTTTATGATGCGAAGCCTGAAAGAACTCGTAAAAAGGAGCACGGGTGACAACAGACCACGTTTGAAGCCCGGTGTTCCTCGATGTCGCAGGCCGGGGGTCTCGATCGCAAGAGTTGCCACGTCTTCGCCGCAAGGCTGTGATGAACCTCCAACGCAAAGCTGTAGTCTCCACCTCCCAGGAAATAGTGCAGCTTGAAAGTCTGTCCTTTGCAAGTTGAAGCAAACTTGTGCTGAACATGGACGAAGTGGGAGTGGTTCATGCCGTGCTCGAAATCGGACGCCTCAAACGGAAACGCTGGCAATCCTCCTCCGACGCACCCTGCGCGTTCTGCTTCCAGCAAGCCGAGGCCTTTGGAGATTGCGTCCTTGCTAAGTACATCTGCTGCGCTCAAGACTTGCCAATCGAAGCTACCTTCCGCACCACACATGGGGACTCCAGAATCCGACCGTCCGCCGGATTCAAGGCTGACTCCCTCAGAAGAAGCCACGGCGTCTCTTCCCCAAACCGGCGAGACGGGCAAGCTGTCTACAAAGCGCATCCCCACAGCACCTGGATGGGGTTGGCTACCCTCCCGCTCCTGGTCTAGTCTAATCTATCCCACTCTGTTTAACTACCACAGTTGCAGCTGGTCTGGTTCTGCTGCTGCTGCTTTATAGGGAATGGAAGAATGGTAGTAATAGTAGATAAAATTGTACCCCATTCCTCCATTCCCCACTAACCTAAGGTAAGTTTAGAAGCAGGAGGAGGATGAGAAGTGATAGCAGCAGCAGTAGCCGCAGCAGAGGCAGAAGCAGAAGCCACGACCGTAGCCCTGACCGTGATCATCAGTAGTATGTGGATTCGGTCGTGGCTTTGATACTGGTAGTGGTAGTGGGAGTAGCAGTGGCAGTGGCAGTCGTAGTACTGCCGTAGCAGTAGTGGTAGTCGTCGTCGTCGCGGTGGTAGTGGTAGAGGTAGTGATGTAGCGGTACTGGTAGGTAGCCGTTGTCGTAGCATTAGTAGTAGACGTGGTGGTGGTGCTGGTGGTGGTGGTGGTGGTGGTGGTGGTAGGTCATGTACCCATTCGACCACCGCTACGTCATCACCACTGTCGTCATTAAGAGAATTCGTACTACTATTGCTATAGCAACTAAAGCATGATTAGTACTGCAATGTGACAGCCAGGGTTCCCAGTTTCGACAGCTACTGAATACTGTTGTTTGTGTTTGTGCTCCATGTCAATGTGACTATGTCAGTCTTTTCTTTGCCCTTGCCTAGGACAATTCCCAGGGTGACGAGACCGAGGATGCCGAAGGTGCGCTGACAGTGGGCGGGTTCGGCCTGCTCGGGTGGCCTCTCATAGCCGGCCGACAGCGTCACCCCTGTTGCCGACATGGCCAAGCACAGGCAAGGCGAGGTGATGTTCAAGCTCTTGTGAGCGCACGTGCAAACAAACCCTATGCTAGCTCAACATGTCTACTGTCTACTAGTTCTGCGAAGGTGTGAAGACTGAATATATGAAGAATGCTTGCGGATACAGGCCACTGATAGCCAAGCAGTAAGCATGATTTAACGTCTGCTGAGCTGCATCATCCGAACTTCTGAAGGCGGCGCGGTTTCCGAGCATACAAGGTCGGCCAGACGATTCGATCGGCTAATTACCCCCAATATTAGACCACTGGAACATACTAGATACCAGGATTCCAGAACATCTCTACATCCAAACTGTTGGAACCATTCAATTGAGCAACGATTTCTCAGCAGCCACAATGTCCCTTCCCCGGTGCACATGATCTAACTGAAGTGCGCACCAAAAGCCTTACGTTCTACACCTTGTGCCCTCATTGCCACCCGAGCTGGGCGCCAAGGGCAATGCTTGACATACTCTACCAAGAGTGCCCTCTAATAAGGGTTTAGGGTTGCGGGCTGTATCAACCAAGAGGAGACTTGTTGCATCTAGGCCGGTCGCGACTGTCGGGTACCCCTGAGGAAACGAAACTGAGGGCAAAGCCATTTCTTTCTGCAAAGCCAAGCCCCAAAACCTAAACCCTAAACCCTAAAACCCTAAACCGTAAACCCCTAAACCCAAAACCCCAAACCTTGTGGTGGCCTTGCAGAGTGGATCCACAGTGGGCTCATAGCCCGGCGCGCAGCCCGCTCCCTTTTCGGAAGCCGGAAATCAAGGCAGACTTTGCTTTTCTCCATAGACCCGTCGATCGATGAGCCGCTTAGGGTTTAGGGCTCGGGTTGAAGGGTTTAGGGTTTAAGAATAACCAAAGGGCCTGTTCCGCAACCTTAGACCGCACCTTGGCCCTGAAGCAGAGTATGAATCAGTCAGGGAGCTCTTGCTGCAGTTTTCATGATCTGAAGTAAGCTGAGATTGCGAAACCGGGAGACCTCCCCCCCGTGTGCTGAGGTTATGGCATGTTGGGGTCTAGACAAGAGTCTTTCCGCTTGAGGAGCTTTGTGTTGAATTAGGGGTGCGACTTCCAGAGTTCGACTTTCAGCTACAGTTTAGACATTAGAGTGCTCTGCATGTGGATGGATTCTGCATCTGCGTAGGCGACAGTAGGAACAGTTGCCAAACTCCCTCTCCTTCTACCAAAAATGAAGCACCAACCAGGCCCTATTCCAGTGCTGCAGGTTTTAGCAGTTCATCCGAAGGTAGTGCTGAACTACGCTGTGCTGGGATGCCGCGCACAGCGTGCTCCATGAAGAACGGATGTCCTGACTGAGTGACCGATGAATTGTCAAGTATCACATCCCTTCTCTCCGGCATGCGCCATTTTGGAGCACCAGTGGCTCGAACGTCCCTCCCTTAGGGTTTAGGGTCTCCCTCTAGAAAGGCACTGCAATGCGCTGCCAAGGCCCCTCGCCCGGCCAGGTTCCCCTGAAGTGCCCTTTTACACCTGGTCTACACATATGCCAGGAACCGAGGCGCCGACTGTGCTTTGCCGTGAAGTGCCCTAAACTCCAAACCTAACCCCAAGCCCAACAACATACCTACAGCCAGAGCCACACTGACTAGAATGGAACATAGCATAGCACAGCACAGTATAGTGTAATACAGTGTAGTAGTATACAGTATGACATAGTATAACTCACAGATAGACAGGCAGGGAGGCAGGCAGCAGGGACCCACAGACCGCATGCATGGGTTCACGGTTTAGGGTTTAGGGGTTTAAAGTTTTAGGGGTTTAGGGTATAGGGTTTAGGGCCTCCCTCATCCTCCCTCCCTCCCCCGCGCTTCAATACACACGCACGCACAGATGCACATGAGCCACAAGCAGATACGAACATAAACGGAAGAAAACAGGGAGATACAACGGTACATATGTAATCATATATATATATATATATATACATATGCATATTGTATGTATATTATACCGACATGCACGCATGCACACGCGCGCACACACACGCACAACAAGGATCTTGCACAAGCTCAGGCTCATGCCCATAGAGGCACACCGGATCACCGACATTCTTTATGTGCCTGTGGCTGGGAAGGAACTTCGGTTTGGACTCTCACAACTCGAGCAGTGGTAGGTTTTAAGGGTTTTGCTGCCCCGCTTGCGGGGAGTTGAACCTGGCTTGCACGTATTGTGCTGTTTAAGTACTGGATGCATCAACGATATACCCATGCTTAGTTCCTGACGTCCTGCTGAAAACGTTAAAGGGATATCGCCAAGCGAGCCTCAACATGAGTTGGGGCCGGTTCATATCTGTCTTAACTTGCGGCTTTGGTTCCTGTGACAGGAAGGACGTTCGTAACTTCAACGAAGTGGCAAGCGTTTAAACAATAGAACAGAGCTTTGGGGCTTTGGGGTATTTCTACACTTATAACTGGGGCTATGGCGGACAATCATACTGCCAAGTATTCCAACCCGTGGATGGGCATGCGTGTATTTAGTGAGGACTACGGGGAATTCTGCTCTTACGACTCCACTGCGAACCGAAGTACAGCTTAAGTTTCAGGCTGACTCAGTCTGACGTGATCACCGAGCTCGAACCTGCAATGAAGGGCCTGCGGTACATGATAGTTTCGAATTTTTTCTGGAACATCATTGTCACGTTGTCATAATCATTAAGGAAGAAGCCTGCTAAAGGTTAAGGAATACTGGTAGTAAACTGTTCAGGCCCGATATAAAACTGACACCTGCTAGAGGCAGCTGGGGTCGGGTCTTCGGATCTGGTGCAGCGCAACTGCGCATGGGCTTGCAGCTGAACCTCAGGAAAGCTCGAAGGTCATTCAGGATGAAAAGCCGGGTTAGCAGGAGTGATAACACCAGAACAAAAGTCTGGTTGACAGCACCCGTCCGAATGCTGCACCAATGGGATGCGAAGAAGACAGCTGGCCGCGAAGCCCTGGCAATCAGGCCTAAGCACGCCTGAGCTTGCGACTGGCCAGACATAGTGCCGTTTCGGCACTCAAGTGGGATTGACCTCGGGTTCAATATGGGAGTTTCCGAAGATAGGGGACAGTAGTATAGTACCCTAAATCGTAGGATCCCTATAACAAGGACCCCATAATAAGGTATCCCTGATTTTCGGAAACTCCCATATGTTTTGGCTTGAACCGGACTCGGACAGGTGGGGAGATATGCGCAGGTCTCCTCAGCTTCAGGTTTCTCATTAGAGTGGCCGCAGGGGCAGGATTTTAGCCGTAGAGCCGGCAAGTGCCTTGAACCAAAGGTCTCCAAAACAATTCCTCTTTCAGATTTCTCCACGGCTTCATCATGGTTCCGTGGCCTTGAGTCTGGTATTTGGATGCCATGCGAAAGAGGACGGGGAGGGTCGACGAGAAGACTTGTCAGGGGATCTATCAGGTTTACTATGAGGGTTCCACATGGGTTCTATAATGGCTTAGTGGAGGGGGTAGCGGCGCGTAGTGAAAGGAACAGGCCGCATGAACACAAACGTACAAGCATCCCCCCACGGCAATTTGGCGAACGGAGGCACGAACGAGTGACTGAACAGAATCGCTATGACACTTAGAAAAGGACTACGAGTGACGGATACTGCGAACTTCCGCTTGACAACTGCGCATGTGCTTCCCCAGCAGGAAGGTGCCAAAAGTCTCTTTCTGGCTGCCAGCCCCGAGGCACGACAGATACAACTCTGGTCGACAATCGGCAAAGGCTTGAAGCTGCAGCATCATGCAAGTCCTTCAGACTCTGACAGCGTCATGATTCTGAGTATCCTTATTGCTGTTGTTCTCTCTCTCTCTCTCTCTCTCTCTCTGCCGCTGCAGCGAGAGGGTCTAGCAGCGCCAGGCAACCCATGAGGCTATTGGTGTTGTTATCATCGATCTTTTTCCTATTCAGACACAAGAAACTTCCCGAGCAGGGCTTCCATGATTCCTAGACCTGGAGAATCCTGCATCTGACACTGTCGCCACTCCTGTGAAGGATTTGAAGTCCTTGTAAGAGTATAGTATAGTGTAGTCTAGTCTAGTATAGTGAAGTCTAGTATAGTGTAGTATAGTATACGTGGACGGGGTTGGGGAGTTCCACAGCTAGCACGGCTGCAGCTGACGGAGGTCCGTACGCCTCCAATTCTGTGGCTCGCGACACTCACATTCCAAGCAAGCATCCGGCAGCTTGTGTCTGCTGTGCCAGACCCTGGAACCCGACAGTGCGGACGGCCAGCCAAACGTCAAAGATGTAGCCCTAAACCCAAACCCTCACCAACCCGTAACCCGGAACCCTTGTGGATCTGCGAAATCGAAGGGACTTGGACTGACGTTGGGCTCCTTCATATGGATCCCCTTCTCTTGAGTGAAGAACCGGATGTTTCTTAGTCGGGTTCCTACACTAGGGGAAAGGCTGAAGGGATGATGGTTGGGAGTTTCGGTCGATGTTTTTGGGGCGAGGGAGAGCAGTGGTGGCAAAAGTGTTGAGGGCAAGGTCGGGTGAATTGTGGGCAGGTTCGGCATGCAGGTTCAGTCAGGGCAAACATCGAGATCGCCACAGTTCCCTAATTTTGATGGGATTCCTAGTCCTAGCCACTTTCAATTGCGCAATACTTGGGTGTCCGGAGACGCATCTCGATGCCATTTCGATAGGGTACCCGATACTTCAAGAACATCTCCAGCTCTAAATTCTCGGCAAGCCTCGACCTCACTGCTGCCAGATGCCAAACGCAAGCTTCAAAATGGGTCCTCGGCCCATTCTGGGCCGAAGCTGCTGGTGAGGCCCTCATAAACCATGGGCAGGCGCAAGCGCAAGGTTTCCCAGAAGTAGCTTCACCCCCAATGTCTGCATGAAACCGTCAGGCCCGCACTACTCAAACATCACCAGGATTGCTCGTTATATAACCCTGAACCCTAAAGGGCTTCAGAGCGTTTAGGAACTCTTAGGGTTTAGGATGGTGTGCCCCTTGGGGCTCCTGTTGCACTGATTCCTACTTGTCGGGTATCATGGGGAACTAAAGCTTAACCTTTTTGGTTAGATAAGGATTACATGGGGACTATACTACCCAAAAAAAGGTTAAAGGTTACCTATACTCTACTAAAGGGAACTCCAGAAAGTTGGAATATGGTTTCAGGGTAGGATACCTTATAATTTACCATAAAGGGTTTAGGATAATCATATTCCAACTTTCTGGCTTTTACTTTACTGAGACTTCCACGAGGAACCTCCGAGGCCTGAGCCCTGCCCTTCGGGGCAAAAAGCAGCTCTCTCTTTCGGAGCTTGCGCTCGTTCCCCTAGGGATCAAAATAGCCCAAAAGCCTTATATAGTATGGTCTTTGGGCCCAAAAGACTGAATGTATGAGTCCTTAGATCCCTAGGGTTCCTCTGTGAGTCAAGGCCCAAAGGCCCACTGCCACGGTCTACGACTACTCGGGATCCTGCCTCGGGCTCCGAACTCCAAGGAGAGTTATGGTCCCCTGTTTGGGTCCCTCATAGAATATACGGCACGTAGCATTTAAGGTGCCCAAGAAGGGGCCCGACCCTATTTTTTTGACAACTGCCCTAACTGCCCATAGTTCGACCAGTTTCGTGCTCAAGCTGCTTAGCCGCTTAGGGGAGGTGTAGGACCTAGGGAGCCCCTCGACCTCCATGGGGGAAACCTCTGTAGGCCAGCCCGCCTTGAAAGAGCTACGGGAGGGACTCGCCAAACCCTGAATCATAGGGGTCTGGGCGCTTCTAAAAAGTCTAAAAAACAGAAGGCTTGGCTTTGACACAGCCCTGCCTGCGGGTTAGTGACAAGACTTGCTGGTAGAGAAGGAACCGGTTAGGCTGGCTCAGCAACATGACACGGCGTGGGATGGGTGAACCCCCACCAATCCAAAAAACTAAACTCCTTGTGCAACCGTCAAGCCCTGAACCTGAAACCGGCCCAAGACCAGGAAGCCGTCTTGAAGCGCCAGGGGCAAGCCCCTCAACTTCCTGGAAGATGGCTATTGTAGTCGTTCCTGCACCTCGAGACGTGAGTCGGAATCTTCGGCAGTGACTAGAACTGTAGCAGAAAACCCTTCAACGGATTTGGGGAGCTGGTTTGCCTTTGCCATCACCTGTCTGCTCTGTTTTTCTTCTAGACTTGCAGGTCGAATCATAAGCAGAGCCCCCCAAAGCTGGTGCTCTCCACCTGGATTCAACAATCCGTTTCACGGTCAGCCTGTGTCCCAGCAGTGGGCTGAAAGCCGACTGCTTAATGACTAGCTGTTGAGGCAAGAATGCCCCTGCCAAAGCTAAAACCTTAATTTGAACTTTTTATCGTGAGGATGGCTGGGAGCTAATGTCCGAGCCTCAGCGCCCACTTGAGGGCGGCTTCTCTATGAACGACGACCGCCGGAAGATGTCCTGCCATGATCATTCTTCTTGAAGTGGGGTTGCCTTGCTTCTTTGGTGGGTCTTTGTACCAATTAGGATCCTACAAGTTGTAACTTAGGGTACCTCTCATGACAAGTTTTCAGGATGCTGGAACGTAAAAGTGAAAACAATACAATCAAAGCTGGGGTGGGAGAATGCTTCGACCAAGCGACCTCAAACATCGCTGGTAATATGAGTGAAACCACGGGGCACTACTTTAGCACCAGAGCACACTATCGCGACGTCTGTCAACGACCGATGTGAATCCGAGAAGCCAGGCCTGCGGCGGTGACACATATACTCCAACAGGCGGCTGCCGAAAGCCAAAAGAAGATGCAGCTGTGCAAGCATGTCATCAGGAACAGTCATTGCAAACAGCACGCGTGAAGTGGATAAGCGCACCACGCACAGGCCTTCATCTCGTTTCGGATATGGAACGTCTCATCTCGGATGGCGCATGGGCTTTGAGGGTTTGGCGCAGGGCTTGAATGTTACTTGAAGCTTCCGGAGTTGGGGTTCGGATCTCACCGCAACACTGAGAGGCCCCCAATCCGCACAGTTTCCAGTCCGGGATATCCAAAAGGCTGAGGTCCCTCGCCATGGCCCGGAGATAAACCCTAAAGCCCGACAAGACTTCGAATACACACACAAATCGGTGGAACATTGTGTACGCCTTTTGCAATACATGAACACAAAAAGCAAACGTTGTACATGTATTGCTTTTGTGTTCTATTTCATCAATATTATTACTATTGTTCTCATTCGTAAGTTATATTGTTGTATTTGTAATATAATGATCTAATAATTAAAAAACAACCCTGTCAACCCCCTGCTCCATCTGTGCGGCTGAATACTTGGAGCTCCTCTTGGCCTCAGAGACGTGACCAAAACTTACCCTTGGTTAGTAGGGAATGGAGGAATGGTAGTAATAGTAGTTATAATTATACCCCGTTCCTCCATTCCCTACTAACCAACGGTAAGAAAAGGGGCTTACGATTAGAAGAACTGAATTTTCCCCCTCCTACTTAGCAATGACAAAGCCCCTATTGCAGGGTAACTTCGAAGTAACAGCTCAATAACTGAATGCGGTTTTGGGGTTTGGGGTTTAGTGCTTAGCGCTAATTTGGAATAGTTGAATCGGGTTTGGGGGCATATGCTTAAAAGGGTCTCTAGAGTTGAAGTTTCGGGTTGAATAGGGTTGTTGTGGGGCATATTCCAGCATACCTATATGGACATCGAGGGTAAAATGCTGTTGCGAGCCATTCACGGCCCCATGTTCTTTTACAAGTACCGCACTGTCTCCAAGTCGGACGGCAGGCTTCTGGGGTTCAGGTTGGAGTTGCCCGTGTCTGTAAAACGAGGAGGGAAGGAGAGAGAGAGAGAGAGAGAGAGAGAGAGAAACAGAAATCGAAGTATTCGAATTCGGGACATGGTCGTGGGCTCTGCTGCAAAACAAGCCTTGATTTGCCAACTTGCTCGGATAATGTGGGGGCTTTTATAATTACCTATACTATTTTGCGGGTTCCTTATGCTAGGTCCAGTATAAAGTACGCCCCCAAGCCCTATTCTGATTACTCAAGCTGCAACATGGTCTGGGGTATGTTACAGTACACTTAGGTATACCAAGGAACCCCGACACAACTCTTCAGGCCAGGCCGTTGCAGTATGCTCCAAGGAAGGAGACATACGGCTCAAAAACACCCAAGAGATGCTTTCCGGTGGCCTGGCAAAACATGACGAGTTCCTTTCTCAAGGTGGTCTGGCACAGTGCTCCATGACAAATGTGGTTATCCGTATCTCTCCTGCCAACTCCCAACCCCGATGGCCCTTCTCCATTATGGTTCATGCTCCCCAGCCCCTACATCCACTTGTTTGGGGTTTAGGGTTTTGCGTCACTCGCAGATCGGCAATATCGTGAACTTCCGGCGATGAGACACAGGATTTACGCTCTCATCTCGGACAAGCCCGGCGAGTCATAATGTTTCCGGTCTCATGAACAGACTTTATACTCCATGTTTGATCTTTTCAGTTATTCTCTTGGTGTTTCAATCTCTCTCTCTCTCTCTTTCCCTTGCTTGCTTGCTTGCAAAGGGGTGTGGGCCCTCGTAAGCTCCCAGGTCTTCAAGGCCCCTTTCGGGGTGAGAGAAAGGCTCGTTCCCCCACCTGTGCTTACCGTCCCCGCAAAACACCCCTGCTAAGACCATTACCGTGGAAACCTGTAAGCACCAAGTGGATCATCCGAGTTCTCTCCAGCAGCAGCTACGCGAAAGTGGCCTGTTGCCGCGACTTTCCTCGAAACCAAACATATACTCTCCTTCTCTCTCTCATTCTCTCTCTCCTTCTCTCTCTCTTTCTTTCGCCAGGGTTGTGATGCAGGGGTGTTACCCCCTACATCGCGCGCGTATGCGCCCCCGACTGTTGGGGAGGAGAAAAAAGGCAATTCTCAACCATCGGCTGTTGAATGTACAAAACAGAAGTCTCTGCACTCAGCAACTGGACTCAGGACAGCCAGAAAAACCAGCTCGTAAAAGAGGCAGCTCAAGTTCAGAACAAGATTGGGATTGCTGACTCGGGGTTGTTCCCCTTGCATGAGACTTTGTGGTTGAGATTGCGGGATCAGCATCATCGCAAAGCGTGAAAAGATGCCACGACACGTGCAAGCGTCCCGAAAAGGTGAGGGGCAACAGCCCCTATGGAAAGTAACGGCGAAGTTTCAGGGAGCTCACATTAGAGCTAGGATCGAATGGGGTTGGCTCAGCGGCCCGTCCTAATGTACAGCCTAGCGTGCGGCACAGGCAAAAGCGAAAGTAGTATAGCTCAGTTGGAGCAAGGCGAGTCCATCCTGGGGATGCCCCCTCAGATTTTGTCGCAGCATACGACAGGGATCTCGGACGAATTAGGAGCAACTGTAGCAGGAAAATGCCCAAGGGGAAAAGCCCCTGCCACGCTCACTCATCTCAGCGGCTCAGGTCTCGTTGCTGGGCGTCATGCTGCCTTTTGGTCCGTCTATTGTCCCGGTACTCGGCTTTCTGTTGACTTCTGTACCTTTTCCACAAGGTCTCGTCCGTGTCGTCTTCTGAGTGCCGTTTTATCTCACCGTCCTGGAGGAGTTGCTGTAGCCGTCTCTTCTGCCTCGTTGTCAGCGTCGAGGGTTGCCCTGCTGGTTCAGGTGGAAGTAGGCCTGCTTCTGCAGTCACTGCTTTGCCTTCGGGGCTCTCCCCGTCATCGCCGCCTTTGTCCCCGGGGTCCGCGGTGTCATCGAAGACGTCCTCCATAGGGTGTAGCCCCCTGTGTGTTCCCAAAGGCAAGTCCCCCTGTTGCTGCGGAGCTATGTTGTTGGCGGGGTCGTCCGTACTTGTTACCGCTGCCTGGTCTGTGGGCTCAGTGTTGGCATAGTCCTGGATCGTTGGGTCCGCCCCGTCCACGCGCTTTGGTTCCTTGTTGTGACATGCATGCAAGGCTTCCTCGTGCTCGGTCCAGGTCGTGGCTATGGCAAGGTCGTGCTCGCTGTCATCGTAGTCCTGGATCGCTGTCGCCTGCTCGCCCACGGGTGGTGGTTGACGGGGGTTGCCCCGGACAGTGTCTTGGTTCCAGGCTTGCTCCTGCTTGGGTACAGGTGCCAGCATCTCCTGCACCGGCTGGCAGGGTTGGTAGGACTCCTTACTCCTTGTCGACAGTGGCAGTCGTAGCCCCAAGCGTGTCCGTTCTCAGGGTGGCGGGACTTGGTACTGCTCGAAGTTGTTCCCCCGGAAGAGCACGGGCAGCGCCAGCTTCAAGAGGGGACGTTCCCCGCAGGAGGCCAGAGGAGGAAGAAGGCGTAGGTGTAGAGGGCGTAGCCCCTGTACTCAAGGCAGCTTCAAGCAAAAGACCAGAGGAGGTAGAAGACGTTGAAGGTGCTGTGCCTGCGGTGCCTGCAGTCGTTTCTTGCTTGTCGAGCTCAGGTGGCCAGAGTGCCGCAGGAGCGCTCGCAACCGCCCGGACTGGAGTTCGGCCCGGCTTTGTTGGTGGGGCCATTTCCCCATACATGATTTCACGAAGTGGTTCCAGGAGATGGTCTCGCAGATGGAGGTCGCTGAGGTCGTTGAGGTCCGAACTTCTGCATGCTTGTGCTTCTTCTTCCCCTTCTTGTGTTTGACCTTAGTGGGGGGGGAGGGGGGGGGCGTGATGCCTGAAGCGGGTGGAGACGGCATCGTACTGTCTGCCGGTGTTGCCTGCGACTTTGCGATGAGGAAGGCGTGGATGCCCGCTGCACTTTTGGCTTCACAGCCATGAAGGTAACAGGCTGGGTCCCGGCGGTCATGCCCTCCATGAAAGGACGCCCCTTCAGCACAACGTCTGCATCGAGGCTCGTTTGTTCCTTCCGACTTCTTGGCCATGGCTTTGGAGATGTCGGAGGGGAGGTTCCCCTGGATCCCAATCGTAGGCAAGGAGTGCAATCACGGTGTCGATCCCCAATATCACGATCTTGACGTGGATAAAGTCGTCGATCGAGGATGTTCCCCGGGTGGGTCGGCCAGTAGAAGAGGTTCTTGAGTAGGGCCGCCGATATCTTTGTGGTAGTGGGTCTCACTCTCCCGAATGAACAGGACAGCTGCGGTCACCGTACAGGTCCGTTGCACACCGATCTCGCGTTTTAAAGCGGGCAGCTCGAACAGCGCAGAGTTCACCACCTCGTCCTTCAGCAATCGCGGCGGAAGAGCAAGAGAAGGCAAGAGGACAAGCGGCCGGGTTGAGGCGGAGTGGCCCCGTTGAAGAAAGGAGGAAGGAGAAAGGCAGAGAGGCCACCCCCCTTGAACCGCTCACGGCTTGAGCCAAAATGGCTATCTCTCTCTGTCTCTCTCTCTCTCTATCTCTCTCTCTCTCTCTCTCTCTCTCTCTCTCTCTCTCTCTCTCTACATATTATATATATATATACACTTTTATGTATATAGATACAGATAGATATAAGTACCCCACCCACCCCCACCAAAGCCATTCAGCATGATTATATGGCTCTTCATAGAAGCAAAGCTTCGAGTCTCCAGGACATCCTTCACCGCCTGGCAGGACATCTTCGCATGGCCGGGGGGGGGGGGGGGGGGGGTTATGGGTTTTGGGGACCAGGCTCGCGTTGCAGTGTAAGTTCAGTGTAGGGCTTAGGGTTTAGTCGGTTCAGTGTATGGTTTTGTTTCCCTCCTACTTTGCAAGGACGAGGCCCGCATTGCAGGGGTTCTTTCCCCTCCTACTAAGCAAGGCAGGGTATTAGGGTTTGGGGGTTTCGTCTCTCAATCTCGCACCAGGCAGGGAAGGATCCACACAAAGGATTTACTTTGGGGATCTTAATAGTTAGAATAGGGTTTTGGGGCCCTGTACTAAACTTATAATGAGGAACCCCCAAAATGGTATTGGTAAGTATCTAGGCCCCTATACTACGGTTTGGGGCATGCGCCTCTGATTTCAACACGGCTCGCAAAGGCAGGGATCCGGGCATGAGTCCAAATACGACAGCTTCTGGTTTACAGAGCCGAACAGTGGCTCCGGACTCCTAAATCGGAGCGAAGGACGTTTATGGCTGCAGCTAGGCCCTCATGGCAAAGCAGCAAGCGGCCTGAATAGCTCATAGCTGTTAATTATGCGGCTTCTGACATCTTCTGACTGCATGTGGAGCATTTGGCTTCAGGATGTACAGCTGCAACCTCCGATTCATCAGCTCAGGCCAGGGGTGCGCTTTGCGCCGGCACCCGCAACATAGGAAACCCACGAGAAAAAAACACAAAACAGGTCTTGCCCTGGAAACACGACGGCCCCACCTTGCGAGTCCGCCACTGCTCAAAGCCCCCACAAACCTGTCGCCCTTCCTCGGCAGGAAGCTCCAAGCTCCACTAAAGGGAGTATTGGTTCTTTAGGGTTTACGCTCTCGTATCTCGGGCATGCCTGACGAGGTCTCGGTCTCCACAAGTGCTTTGACTGATCTGCACTAGAAGCTGATGGGGTTTAGGGTTTAGGGTAATGGTGTTCAGACACTCTTGTGAGCATATGGGCCAAGTTTGACACTCTCGGCAGGCATTTTCTGTTATCGACATGCTATCAGTTGCTGTACAAGGTCAGCCGGTTACTGCTCAACTCTGAACCCCTGAACCACCACTCGCACCTAGACCAGTGTCAATGTGAGCACAAGACATGGACAAGAATCCTCTAGCCCTGAGGAGACAGGATTGGTGCGTGTTCTTCGGTCTGGACCATCATGAGAACAGGCCGCAGGTTAAATCCAAAATGATCGAGCTTACCGCGATTCTTCGGGACTGCCACAAAGCTCCTTGACCACCGTGACCTACCTACGCTGAGCAAGATGGCCTTCGGTTCATCAGTAGGCCGAGCCGCGCGGCTTTGGCTTCGACAGGTGATGAAAACTCAACATGTCACAGCATGCACTTCGAATGAGGAAGCGCAGCAATAAACCTAGACTCTAGACGCCTTGCTGACGAGTCGCCCGTGCTTTCTTGGAAAGCGACTCAGCCACCACATCACTGATGTTGCCTGGAAGCATTTAAGCTTCCCCATATACAAACAAAGGCTTCATTTGGTCGCATGCTCACGGGCGGAGACTCACGGAGCTGGGAGTAACTGCCTCGCTCTGCCACATACCATGTTTTGCTATGCCTCTACTGAGAGTCTAGTTTTGCTTGCTCCTGGATCCTTCATGTGACTAACCCAGGCCTTTGAGGTTTCGGAATCCGGCAGCTGAATCATCCCCCATGGCAGTCAAGGGGCGGTGAAAGGAAGACATGCCCTTCGGGACGTCTTTCCAAACCTGACCAAGCTCGGGTCAAGACATTGCAGGCTTCGGGGTCTACCCAGAGACCCCAATATCCCTTAATTAGGGAATACACCTTAAGTCATATTAGGCTTATTAGGGATCCTACTAAATTTAAGGTATATTCCTTAATTAAGGGATATTGGCATTGGAGTCTCTGGGTAGGGTTTGAGGCTCTCCTTTGCTGTACTTCTTTCAAGCGCTGGTTGACCCTAACACTTCCCAACACCTCAAATATGCCCTCACCCCGATGCGCGCAGAATGCAAAGGTGAGGCTGGTGAAATTCTGGTTCGACTCTTCCGTGGGCCCGCTATGCCCTCAGCCCCAAGAGAGTTGTCGAATTGCAACCCAGTGGCTGGCTGCTGTACATGAACCTGTCAGAAGACAGTGCCGAGGATGTGAATTCAGAGCTTCTCTGCCAGTCTGGGGTACTGCGGATACTTGGTGAATACATGGACCCTCCCAAGATCGGGCACTTAATCCCTGAATAAGAGAGAAGAATCATTCTATATAAGCTGCGCGCGGAGAGGCTCGAGGCTGAATGTGAAAGCATAGCTGCACTTGGGTGTTTTTTTCGGAGCCAAGGTCTACACCGTCGCTTCGAGGTTCAACGCAACAAGGCCCTCAGAATATTGCGAAATCTCGGCTTCTGATGGACCTGTGTTCTCACAATCGACTGCCTACGTTCCACCCACAGGCTGGCAAGGAGAAGGAAGCAACTCAACAGGCAACTCATCGCCCTGCCGTTGCTTCAGGTCCCCCAGCACCCCACCCTCAGACGCACAACGTGCTCGTGAAGACATACAACAGTGCCTGTGAACGGAGCGATGCTTGCTTGGAGAGGTGCTAGCAAAGCTATTTCCTGATGGAAGCCCTTGACTCTGCAGTAACAGCCGGGTAGCTGCGCCAGGCTTGGTGTAGATGGGGCAGGTCTCAAAAATCCACGAGTTCTCGGTCGGCTGTCAGATCGAAGATGCTTTGAGGCGAAGGGCTCCATGTTGCGGGTTCACACCCATAATGTATCTGTGTGGTTGCGACACACATTACAAAATGCATGATCTCACCGACTGTGGATTTGTTCTTCGGCAACTGCAATGGCAGGGGCAGTGCTTGCGATGGCAGCTGATTGCAGTGATAGCCACGAGCAGCAACCAGCACTGTGGCAGCCCAGTACGTAATTACAGCAAGAGCAGAAGAAGAGGAGACTCGGACCATCACGGCTCTGCGGGCAGCACTTCGCGTTCCTCCCCCATGCGTAGAAGTGTTATAAGGCTGCAATGCTCTGGTTTGTCTGGGTCAGCTCGCTCACAACCACGCTGGAAATGCAAAAAGGTACGAATGAGAAGTGACGGAATGGCGACAAACGAAGCCCAGCTGCCCGTCAACAGTCATTATCAAAAACAAGCGCTTGCGTGCTCGCATCCTGATGTCCAGTTGCGAAGAACCGAGGGCGCTGTCGACTCTGACTTTTTGTAGGTAGCTCTGCATCTCAAACTAGGGTTGCTCACGAGTCTAGGTTAAGACCGGCATGATGCGTCGCATATCATTGTGACGCTGCCGGTGATTCTTGCAATTACAGCTAAAAGCATGACACCTTGTGATAATGATGCCGGTTGTGCCGACTTGGGTTTGGTTGCTGATGATGATGAGTGTCATGATGACGTCGGTTGAAGTGGTGGTGATGATGGTGACATAGATCGGCATGAGTATGACGATTGTGGTGGGTTCATGGCTTGTTTGACAGTGATGTTGCTGGTCGCCACGCCACCTACTTTAGTCATTGGGCAACTAAAAGAAGTAGTGGCACCAGCAGCCTCATCAACAACCTTGCGCCATGCCAGCTCGTTCCCAGAATCCCGGAAGCTCACTCAGCAGCCCTTGCTCCGAAATCCAGTTTACAAGGATTCCGACTGTGTGCTTCCATGGCATCCGGTTGGCAGACTTGAGGTTCAGATGTTTCGTGAGCTCCATCAAACACCGGGCCGCCATGGTGGATGCAAGGGGGTCTCACTTGCTAAAAGCTGGCAGGACCGGCTGTCCATGCCATGTCGGCTTTGCACGAAAGAGCGGGGACTCGGTGCAAAGCCTAAAGAGGGAAGCTGTAGTTGAGTGAGAGGTTTCGCTCGGAATCTGAAGCTGCAATGTCTGGGAGTATAGCTATAGGCTGACAGGGTCTTCCCGGAACACATGATCCAAATCCTGGCTCTGACATCGTCCCCATAATCCAAAGCCCAGCATCCGCCAAATCGCGATGTTTCTTGCAGTGCTCATAAAACTCCTGGGATGTCATGTCGGACGGAAGGACCTCAGCTTCTTACTGCAGAAGGCTACGCTCGGGCCCCCTTTCGGTCCGGAGTGCTCTGGCGACTCTCATGAGATCCAACTTGTCTGTTTATAGCTAAGGGTCAACAAACTGCATAACAGCCTTGTGCATCTTCAGCCTTGCTCTGCTCCCAGGTGGGACTACATCCATGGTTCTCAGACAGGTCGCTCGCGCGCTACGGGGTGCCTTCTTCGCTTTGGCCGAGTTCAGCGACACGGACCGAACCTCCAAAGGCACATGGCAGAGCCCCTGAAATCAGTCTGGAAGTGTCCTGTTTGTGAGAAAGTACGAAGTAATGTAGAGCCCTGCTTAATACACCCTCCTACTTTCCTTAAATAATCCTCTTCAGGTCGACCAACCAGGGGTCTACATTACCTGTAAAATTCATTATTCATCAAGAAGCCGTCGGGATTGAAGCAGCTTCTTATATAAAACTCTCACTCATGAGCTTTCATGGGATTGAAGCCCTCCCGCAAAGCGCACAGAATATCGCGCTCGGAGAGAACAACACAAAAGAACTAAGCCTTGAGAGGCTAAGGTTCATGCAGGCCCCCTTCATAAGCACTATAATCGGGATCTTTGCTTAAAATGAAGGACTTTATCAGTGAGGGGTCCGCGTTACATCAGAAAAGCCTGGAAGCAAGCTCAAGAGGCCAACAGCAGAGTAACATCAAATTCCGTTAGAACTCAGAAGGCCGGCAACTTGCTCTGCAAGTCGCCTCGATGACGACAGCTTTACCCAAAGGATGTCCAAATCTGCATATAAGCTGGTGCTTCCCAGCCGTGGCACATCGTTGGGGCCCCTTCTTTGCTAGTGACAGTTCCAACAGAATGGTCCGCCGCGCAGGGCCTTTGCACAAGAGGAGTAGAATACCGGTAGGTCGTCTGTACCGGTGGCTCAGCATCACGAGGAGCGGACCAGATCAGTCGTGTCAGAGTCGCGAGAAGTTGGAGCAGATGTTGCGTGGTAACGTGTGTCGCATTGTTCCGCGAACTCGAGTATCCGCACGAGACTCCCTTCGTTTGCTAATTGAGTGCACAGCACTCGAAGTGTATGTGCATTTTGGCTCTCCCGCGCTCTCGGACGAGAGTCACCTCCCCTGCTGACCGCTGCTAAAACAACCCCTCCTATTTATCAAGTTGATTTGGCTGTAGACAGGTATGAAAGGGCTACATCAACTGACACAGCAAACCACCAAGTCGGAAGCACAGGCCTTGCTCGTGGACTCTTCCCGGCTGGAACTCCTCCAAAGGGCACCAAATCTGCTGGCGACCAAGCAATCTGCAACTACATCAACCCTAAACCCTAAACCCTGACAATCTCAGGCACACCTATGCAATGCACATGCGGGCTTTAATGGCTTCCGGCAGTCGCTCCATGCACTTGGAAACCTGAGGCTGCTGTTCTTTACTTTTATGGAAAGCTTGAAGGCTAGTTTCATTAGACTATATATAGTGATAGAAAGAAAGAGAAGTGAGAAGTATTGCTAGTTATGGGAGAGCCGATTCCCACCACTCCTCGTAGACATCTGCCCTGTGTAGCTGTCTGAAGGCGACTTCGGAGAGCCCGGGCTGCCTGAGCAAGAGTTTAGTTTGAGTTTAGGCTTCAGGCCATTAGGGTTTTATGCTCTCGCAACTCAAAGTCTCTCTAGGGCTTTAAGGTTTAGGGTTCAGGTAGAGAGTTGGTATATGCTTTGTCGATGGCTTTGTTTCGAACGGCTTTTGGCAACCACCTCCTCGCCTCAGCATTCCGTTGATGGCCTCTGCAGGGTGATATGCATTTCGGAATCTGCCATATAGGGGCCTTAATAATTAGAATAGGGTTTGGGGTATCTGATACTACAGTTATACTAAGGAACCTCAAAAGTGTATTGGTAATTATTTACGCTTCTGTAGTAACTAAGCTGCTTACACCACCACCCCAAGGGATAAAGGAAGAATCGAGAAGGCCCTGCCAAAATCGGGCCCTGAGCTGCAAGCCCCAGCTGCCGCAGCCCTCCCATGAACAGCATGTCTTAGCAAATCGCGATTTGTTGTGGATTTTTGAAAGAACCGTTGAGCTCAAGACTCCCAAGTTTGCGAGAGAACTGGCAGTGGAACTTTTTGCCACAAGCCCCCAGGATCTTTGCCTCAGAAGGCCTCGAAGAGACCTCCAGTCCGTCAGAGCCACCGGCCAGACGTAACATGGAAGCCGTGATACTTGGAATAGGGCTTTGGGAAAAGACTATAAGGGGCCATCCTTATCCGACCCCTGTATTAGCAGCCCAGAGGTGCGTATGGGAGCTTCGGAATCCGTTTGGAAGATGTCCTGGCGGTCCCTTGCCTCGGCCGAGCTCCTCCAAACAATTGGCCAAGTTCAGGATGGAGCTGAGACTGGAGCTGAGTACGACAGTGCCTGTCGATGGCTTTGCTCGGCTTCCTCATAGCGGCCCCGAGCCTCCAGCAACGAAGACAAGTTGTTCATCGAAGCCAGCGTTTGCGGATGCTCTTTACCAAGGTTGGCCCTGCCAACCTCCAGTACCTGCCTGTACAGCGGTTCGGCTTCCTCATAGCCTTCAGCAGCGAAGCCAAGTTGTTCATCAAAGCCAGCGTATGCGGATGCTCTTCACCAAGGTTGGCCCTGCTAACCTCCAATCCCTGCCTGTACAGTGGCTCGGCTTCCTCATAGCGGCCCCGAGCCTCCAGCAACGAAGCGAAGTTGATCATCGAAATGAGCGTGTCCGGATGATCGTCACCAAGCTTGGCCCTTCGAACCTCCAATCCCTGCCTGTGCAGCGGCTCGGCTTCCTCATAGCGGCCCTGAGCCTCCAGCAACGAAGCCAAGTTGTTCATCGAACTCAACGTTTGCGGATGATCGTCACCAAGTTTGGCCCTGCTAACCTCCAGTCCCTGCCTGTAAAGCGGCTCGGCTTCCTCATAGCGGCCCCGAGCCACCAGCAGCACAGCCAAGTTGTTCATCGAAGTGAGCGTGTCCGGATGCTCGTCACCAAGCTTGGCCCTTCGAACCTCCAATCCCTGCCTGTACAGCGGCTCGGCTTCCTCATAGCGGCCCCGAGCCTTCAGCAATGCAGCCAAATTGCTCATCGAACTCAACGTTTGCGGATGCTCGTTACCAAGTCTGGCCCTGCTAACTTCCAGTCCCTGCCTGTAAAGTGGCTCGGCTTCCTCATAGCGGCCCTGAGCCTTCAGCAACGAAGCCAAGTTGTTCATCGAAAGGAGCGTGTCCGGATGCTCGTCACCAAGCTTGGCCCTGCTAACCTCCAGTCCCTGCCTGTACATCGGCTCGGCTTCCTCATAGCGGCCCCGAGCCTTCAGCAATGCAGCCAAATTGCTCATCGAACTCAACGTTTGCGGATGCTCGTCACCAAGTTTGGCCCTGCTAACTTCCAGTCCCTGCCTGTAAAGCGGCTCGGCTTCCTCATAGCGGCCCCGATGCTTCAGGAACGAAGCCAAATTGTTCATCGAAGTGAGCGTGTCCGGATGCTCGTCACCAAGCTTGGCCCTGCTAACCTCCAGTCCCTGCCTGTACAGCGGCTCGGCTTCCTCATAGCGGCCCCGAGCCTCCAGCAGCCCAGCCAAGTTGTTCATCGAAGTGAGCGTGTCCGGATGCTCGTCACCAAGCTTGGCCCTTCGAACCTCCAATCCCTGCCTGTACAGCGGCTCGGCTTCCTCATAGCGGCCCCCATGCGTCAGCAGCCCAGCCAAGTTGTTCATCGAAAGGAGCGTGTCCGGATGCTCGTCACCAAGCTTGGCCCGTCGAACCTCCAATCCCTGCCTGTACAGTGGCTCGGCTTCCTCATAGCGGCCCCGATGCGTCAGCAGCCCAGCCAAGTTGTTTATGGAAAGGAGCGTGTCCGGATGATCGTCACCAAGCTTGGCCCTTCGAACCTCCAATCCCTGCCTGTACAGCGGCTCGGCTTCCTCATAGCGGCCCCGAGCCACCAGCAGCCCAGCCAAGTTGTTCATCGAACTCAACGTTTGCGGATGATCGTCACCAAGCTTGGACCTGCGGCCTCGCAGACACTTCTTGTACAGCTGCTCCGCCTCTTCGAAGATGGCGCGGCCCTGTAGCCTTCTCCCGAGCTCGTGCATGCAGTCCAGCGCAAGCTCCGCATCCTCGCCCAGCTCTTGTCGGAGGTTGGCCAAGCGGAGCCGGAGCAGTTTGAGCAAACCGTCTGCCTCTGCGCCAGCATGCTTCACCCTGCCAACATCGTCCGTCACCTGCAAGACCCAAACGTCGCGTCCAGGATCCACTTTTCGGCCTCGATAGTCTTCACCCAGATTGATCCCGCGCTCCTGTCCTGTATCTACATCAAGGACCATCTTCTGGGCTAGGTCAGGCGTTTGCCTTTGAAAAATGTTGTACGCGTGCTCCCTCAAGACTACAATCGGAATGCAGAAGGCTGCGCGATGGCCTCCAGAATTGCCTGTGCCCCATGTCGTCTCCACTCGCTGAGACTCCGCATCTGTTGTGTCACGCAAAGGACTCAAATTGCTGTAGTTGTTCAAAAGAACACGTATCCGGGAGCCCCATACTGCAGGTTCATGCTGAGTACAGTAGACGCCCTTTCCGAAGTGGGCCCTGGAGTCCACCAATGATGCGAAGAGCTCGGCAGTGGTCTGCTCCATGTTGGCCACATTTAGGAATGCTAGTTCGTGAGTGTAATGATACAGGACACAGAGGTCCTGTTGACCAGGGCCTTCTTGGTCCTGAAGATCGCACATGATTACAGCGTGTCGCCACACGCGCACCAGACCATCCGGTGCGTTGTAGTCGAATGTGTGCAACTCATGCAGGCCGCCGTGCGAGTAGAGCGAACCTTTGTAGACTTCACCTTTCAAATATGGGTCACTGAAATAGTTTGAGAGCTCACCACGGCCAAGCGCCTCACTCAACGCACTGGCACTGGCACCGGCACCCATGGCCAGTTGAGGGGCACCTCTTGGACCGTGAACGACGAGAGCATGGGGGATCACAGGCTTGTGATAGGGGTGAAACAGCTTGACATGGCCCCGGGCTGCGCTACACCTTGCGGCTATGCTGAGCTCGGATCTTCAACACCAAATCTTCTCTACCGGCTATATATAGGCTGTGGACATGCTCGCAACTTGAGTGGACTTGAGCCGTAGCAGATTTTCCCACGACCGATGTTACTATGTGTAGCTGGTGCTCTTAGAAACTACAGCGCTTTGAGCACGACGATCCGGGTAGTGTGAAACATGGCACATTCACATGCGGGCTTGACTTCTATAAATTCCCATCAATCTTGCAAGCGACTTGTCTGCAGCCCGGACCATCGTCGACATCGTACATGCGACAGTCCAAAATTCCAACGCACACTGAACGTCTCCGCTTGAAGACCAGGGGTCTTAATGAGTCAGATCATAAGAACCTTACGTTGAGCCATAATAAGCAAGTATACAATTTCTACTTACTTTATGTTACCTATTATTTTGGGGTTGCAAGAAACTAGAACGATGAATATACTTGTACCTACCTCATTTAAGTAATCGTTGAGGCACCTCGAGAGGATGGTTGATCAGGGAGCAGTCCGCGGCATGCGCGAAGGGCCATCCGCAGCCTCTCGCTGGCATTCACGCGCCTGCTCTTCAGGGGCCAAACTAAGTAAGGGTTTAGGGGTCAGGGGTTTAGGAAGTTTAGGGTTTAGGGTTTAGGGGTTTAAGGTTTGGGGGTTTTGGGGTTAGGGTCTTATAGGGGCACAACAGGGGTTTCGACTCTCGGAACTCGCTCAAGGCAGGCAAGGATCCGCACAAGAACGAGTTTTGTGGGGTTCAGGGTCAAAGAAGAGCACTGTGAACTAGAGCAAGCCGAGTCCGAAGCGGAGCAGCCTGATAGCCTGCTAGAATGAGACAGTGTTGTATTGAAAGCATTTGCCCTGCCACTGCAATGCATGATCTTTCCAGTCGATGATGGGGTATCCTCAATTAATGCCAGACACAATAAACATCTCCGAAATGGTTAGGTAGTGCATTCAATGTCAAACCATACAGCAAGCCGAACAAGACAAACAGCCACCCTCGGACAAAGTGCTGCGCATCCCCGAGAAGCTCAAACCAAGTTTCGCTCCCGGCCTCTCGTCTCCTATGCAACTAAGCATTAAGCTGGATGCGAGCTTTGTAACTAGTGACTAGTGCGACTGGTTATCATCATTACTCTCTTACATTCTTGCTTACTTTCACAAGGGATGAGGGCAAGCCCTCGGAGGGGCGAGGTCATTACTCTCTCCTGTTCTTCTTTCGCCACAGCCGTCCGCCTCCCTCGCTCTCTCTCTCTGTCTCTCTCGCGGTGTATATATATATATATATACACACACAAATACGTGTATATATATATATATGATATGCACACATCTATGATTTTGCTTACATGCATGAACTTACATATACAGATTTACAGACGCACATTTTACCTCTCTCTCTGCACACATGTGTATGCATGTTTACATGTGGTACATGCAAGGGACTTGTTCGGGGGTGATACCATTCTCGGTCTAGCAGAGTTGCACCGCTGCGAATTGTAGAAATCTGGAACTAACTTAGACTATGGGGCGAATTCTAGTCTCGAAACTTCCTAATATGACCCCTGTCCACTAGATAAGGATTTTGAGGCGACCCCCCTATAGCTATTCGCAGTGGGCGCCTGCTTCGCACTTCACGTTCTGCTACCTGCACTTGTGCCAAACGCAGAGCGGCGTCCTGGCAGCGCGGAAAATTGTTAGCGTTCATAAGGGTTCAGGGCTTATGATCGGAAAAGGTTGCTTCAAAACGCCGAGAGCTGAGAAGCTTGTGTAGTCATGTCCTCGAGGCCATTGATCCTCCTAACCCTTACCGGCCACTACAGTCATCGCCATCGGACCATCATTACCAACAAAATTTCGGCTGAATTCTACTTTCGTCGTCATCATCGCAATCGCGACTACTGCCAGCACCAGCATCGTCTTCAGAGACCACGCGCATGGGCGGGGTCCAGGCCTCCACTTCCCACTGCCCGGCCTGCATGGAGGGTGCGAGGAGCTGCTGTCAATTTCACCCTAAACGGCTCCTCCAACGTCTTTCTCAGTTTGAACGAATCTTGCGTTTTCAGGGAACGGCGGATTTCCTGGATACAGTGTCTTGAAACCCTCAAGGACGGCGGCCATTTGCAGGAGCAACGCCGAAGACTGACTCAACTTTCAGGGCTTCTGCTGGCTTCCGATGTTCGGGCTGACGATGGCCAGGAAAACAAGGGAAACCAAGAAGTCAGCTGCCCCACAAAATGGAACGACACGTTCAACTCAACCAGAACCGGCGAAGAACGACTACTCTCTGCATCTCTCCGCTCGTGTGGCCTCTTCCTGCTCGTAGAAAAGCTCGACCAGACGGTAGTCATCTGTCAAGCGCGCAGCGTTTGTTGGCGGCAGTCTTAGGGGGTGGACGCAGGTTTTGTAAACCAGATACAGCGAAGCTGGGGGAAGCATGGCAGTCAGCGAGGCAAGGGACCACGACGTGATTCAATGTACACAAACGCAGCTACCAGTAGGATAAGCTCCGAATAACCCAGAAGCAGACTTCCTCTACCTTGGAGTCTCCACTCCAGCAATCTGCGACGACACTTCTCAAGGAAATACCTTCAGTCCCTCGAAGCAGAAAAGGGCAGAAATCGAATCCTAAGAGGAAGCCGCGGCACCGAAGATCACGCGCGAGGGCTCCGACGCTGTTGGCGTCGACAGCCGGAGCTCAGACATCAGAGTTAAAATGCTGCAATTCTAATAATTCGTTGGGGAATTGCGAATATCCCAAAAGGCGCTTGCTCGCTTCGATCTCACTGACTTCTCAAAGGCCTGAGGCCTGAAACTTCCACCAGGTGTACCATGCATGGTCAACTGAATACTACTTGGATGAGCCAGCATGTGCCTGCAGCTGCGGCTTTCAAGGGCTGCGGGTAAAATTTTCCATGCCGACCGACATACATCACTGTTTGATGTAGGCAGCAGTGCTTTACCTTAGTGTTCCGAAAGTGAGGTTCAGAGGCAGGAATAGTACCATACGAGTTTATTTTCCCCTCTTACCTAGCAAGGACACAGCCCGCATTGCAGGGCAACTCCGAAGTAACAGTCTAAGAAGCTGTGCTGCTGACACCATACGGGTGGTTGTCAAACTTTTTGGGTCCTTATGATCATACGGCACCTAATATTTAAGGTACCTAATTTTGACAACCAGCCATAGGAGTTTAGGTCTTTAGGGTTTGAGAGTTGTTCGGCCCTTACACGTCAAAATTAGGGCCCCTTTTTGGGTACCTTAAAATATTAGGTGCCGTATTATTATCATAAGGACCCAAAAAGGACCATAATTTTGACAACCACCCGTATGGTCGGAGGTCGGCTTGGTGAAACTACAACTAGAGCAACTACAAGGATAGACCTCAAGTAAGCAACATCACCCCAAGCAGCAAGACAAGCTGCTAAGAGGCCACAGGGGCGAAAGCCCCTCTTTCAGCCAGAGTGCATCCTGCCCCCTACTCGCGTTTTTGAAGGCTTCGACTCGCACACTCGCCAGGCGTTTTTTCCATGAGGTTTGAGGGTTCAGGGTTTAGGTCAAGGGCTCCCCGCGCCCTGATTGCCCGTTTCTGATATTGAAGTTGCATCGGCTGCGCCTCCGTAGTCCGGACAGTACAAACTGCATCGCAGGCGATGATGAATGCTGCACGTAGGGTTCCATCCCGAGACCAAGATGCCCAAGTCTAAGCGCACCCTCCCTGAATCCGGTAACCCTAAACCCTCAACCCATGTTGCAGCCTTTCTTATACCCTTTAAAGGAACCCTCAAAGCAACCCTAAACCCTACACCCTAACTCTCAGCCCCCCGGCATCTCCGTCTCAAAGCCATCCATGCAAGTGGGGGTGCATCTTTGGCCTCCGGCATGCCCAAAACTCGAGCATAACTGCATCGACAATTAGAATAGGGGTTTGGGGGGTGATGTTCTAGTATACTCATCTGAGAAGATTCAGCTATCAGGGTTCAGGGTACATTATGCTTTACTGAGGGGCTAGGGTGACCAGGGGCTACTACGGGGAGCTATTGGCTTGGTACTTGCGGCTTAGAGCCTCCATGTGGAAGTAGGATTTACCCGTCGATGTAAAAAGATTCACGATTTCGAGAAAAAGCATGTAGATGGTTGTTTCATCAGGCCTCTGCGCTGATGTATTCTTTGCATGCGTTCCATTGTTCTTGCCAATCTCCCTTGACAGATCCAAGCCTAACTCAGTAGCAGGTCATTCCAAGGGTCGGAATAGAGCCCGGTAAGCACCCAGCCGTCAGGAACGAAGGCTCCCTCGGCACACTTGTCCGCGGCGCCGGAAACCTCCCGACCAGGGCACAGTTACTCGCCCGCGGCAAGTGTGGCGGCGTGAGACATGTATGCCTCCCGGCCATAGACGCACCGAATACTTTGACCCGAGCTAGTCCAAATAAATCCTGATTTAAAAACATACCTGTGACAGGCATGACGGGTTCAAGATAGCTTGCAAGGAATACAGACTCCAGGTGACTTAAGCAATGAATCATCCTAAACCCAACAGCACGGGTATTCATGCTACACAGTCGAAAAAAGTCAACCAAAACTCAAACTCTAATATAGGTGCCTGAATTTGAACAGGGGCTTGGGCACGTTGAAAGCATCAGCCCATGTACAATCATCATGAAAAACCCTGAGACACAGTCTTACAGGCTTCTATACTAGATACAAACACTACACCATCCTGGCACACTGTGGCGGCGACCATCCTAGATATCGGGAATGTGCTTTGCGCTTTCTGGTTTCACGAATTCCACGGATCTGCCGTCGCACCACTTTGTAAGAAGAGGCCGTATATATAATGCAGCGTAGGCCCGCAAGCACTGAAGGCTTCAGTAATTCCGGGGCCTGATAAATTACTATGGGCATTGTTGTCCATGGCGAGAGGGCTGGAGGGCCTGCATGGCATGTCTGCATGACACAGCAACCGCGAAACGAACGTTAACAAACACCGAATGACAAGAACCGCAGCAAGAACAGCAAGACTCAAACTAGAAAGATTCAAGCGCAAGCTTGGAATCGAAGCTCAAAGACTCGGGGACCTGTATTCCCCGACTTGTTCGGGGCATACGAGCATATGTATGTATGCACAAGTAATTACATGTATATGTACGTGTTCTAGGTGTGTGTGTGTGTGTGCATGTGTGAATGTATGCATGTAGGCAGGCAGGTAGGCTGGCAGGTAGGTGGGTGCGTGGGTAGGTAGGCACTGTAGGTAGGTGGGCTGGTAGGTGGGCACGTCTATCTGTGCATATGTACGTGTGTATGCAATTGCATGCACGCATGCATGCATGTGTCCGCATGCCGTGATGAATGTCTGTTTATCCGCGTACGTGCATGTGCGCCCTGCTGCATATGTATGTACAACGTACGTATGTATATACATACATATGCATACATACCTATATATGCATGCATGGATGGAGGGAGGGAGGATGGATGGATGGATGGATGGAATGGCATATGTACTTGCATGTATACATGCATACGTACAGGTACATGTGGGCATGCATGCTAAAAGTTTGCGTAGATGTATAAATGTTCGAAGCGCGCCGGCTGCAATCATACGCAAGCGCAGTCATCTTCGATCTTTCCCGCAGTGCCACTCCCCTGGTTTCATACAGGGCCCTGATAGTTCAAAGTCACTTGGGATGTACATTTTCGTGTTTCTTGATGGGGTTATATGTATATATACTAATCATGCAAGCCCCTGCATAGGTTTTAGGCCACAGGAGGTCTCCACCTTGGGAAGTGCACAGCTGCCCAGGCTGCAACGGAAGTCCGCCCTTAGATGCTCAATTTGCAATAAGGATTGAGAAACCTAGGTGGGCTCAGAGACTTTAACGGTTCCTATCAGGGTTACTCTACGGGTCTGATAAGGTTTCGACGCTCACACTCGCACAAGGCAGGCAAGGCTGCACATAGTAGGGTTTAGGGGTATAAGGGTTACTATAATAAGGGATCCGAGAATCAGAAGGGTCTTGAGTGGGGTGGTATAAGCGAGGCTAGACCGACAAAATCCCAGCCGGCCTCCTGCATTGTTTAACGAGTGCAGTGCTGGCCGTATTGCCACCAAGGCTAGGAGAAGTCCAGAGTTTTTTCCCGCTTAGCTAGCAGGGACAAAGGCCGCATTGCAGGGTAACTCCGAAGTACAGTTGACAACAGCTTCACAGGTGGAAGCCAATTCACGGTGATATTCAGAGTTCGGGTTTGAGGGTTTAGGGTTATATGAAGAGCTAGTCAGGCCGGTTCTGTCACACCGGGCTGTCTGCACTGATTTCACCGACTGTCATGAACCTGGTGGACCAGCGAAGCCATCTTGTCGCTGCCATGAACCGGAAGCGTTGAGACCAGCTTCGAGTGATGAGAGCATCACGTACAGGCACATGCAGATTGAAGTCGCGGATTTCAGGCTTAGCACTTGGTCCCACAACCAATCTGGAATCCCTCACAGCCAAGTATTCCACTTTAAGAAAGCCCAAAGGCATGTAGTCTCTAAGCCCGAAACCCTACACCCCAACACATGCCAATAGAATGACCCATACAACAACCTCCAGGTCTAAGTGAATCGGTAACCTTCACAGTAACCTTTGTAGTAGCTTATGGCAATTGTCATATAGTACTGAGGGCACGCTTGCTACGGTACTGAGGGCACAGCGGAGAAAGCAGGCCGTTTTGGCAGGTCACCAGACTGCAGTGGACAGGGGTGCCACAACTTTGAACGGGAAGCTCCTGCCCTTCTGGGCTCAACCCCTTGGTTATCGTCTCTCGCGTCTTACCAGCTTGCAGTACCTACTCACTTCTCAAGCTTGCAAGGCTCACCGAAGCTTTGGGACACTCTTGCGCCTTGCCCTGGACATAATCGAACGGTCACTGCGAAAAGGCTCGACCTTGCCGAAGGCAGCCCGGGCCTCTGGGAGCCCGGGATCCCATTCGGGTATCGACCCCAGCTGCAGCGCACCTGGCGTTCGAAGGCCGGGACTGGGGCAGACTTGGGAGTTGAAAAGCTGAAGGGCTGTGTGGGGTGGAGTTAGGTTCCACCTCTACTTGGAGGGCTTTGGATTCAGGGTGCAGATTTCCATCATGAAACCCAGGTCACGAAGACTTCAAGCTAAACAGCTTTTGGTTGGCTCGGCCGTGCAACCCATAGACCGAGCTTGAGAATGATTTTCGCTCGGCACAGTCTCACTCGATCGGTCAGGGAAGCTGCAGAATATGTGAAGGCTCAGACACCCATCTTGACATCCCCGTCTGCTTTGTGCACTGTAGCTGCCATGCTTGGACTTTCCCGTCTCATTGAGGCACCGCTGTCTCTTGAGTGATTGACGTGAGAAACAGAACACCCTCGGTGCAGTTCAAACCCTCATCTGGTGACCGTGGCCTTCACACTTGCCAGCTTTGCCGGGGTGAGAGTTTCTGCTGGCCCAGCGGCGAAGATCCAGATCTACATTTGGGGAAGTTAGAACTCCAAAGATCTGGAGGCGAAAGATGAAAGACTCAAGCCCGTACATGGGCCTGAAGCGCCGGGTGCAGAAGCCTCCAAGTTTCAGGTTCAAAGAGGTACGAATAAGTGCAGGTGGCCGGGTAGGCGGCTATGCCTAGGCAGCCTAAATCCGCTATCAGGCGAAGGAAGAAACAGAAGACTGTACGACTGTGCGGTGTGCGTATCACTCTGAAACGGGGAGCGCTGGGACTTCTGCCTGTGGGATCCTGGATCTTAGCCGCCGTCTGCTAGCATCTTGCAGCTCGAGCAGTCCGACCGGAAACCACAAACTGTGGGGAAAGAGTACCAGCTGGAGTTGTGAACGGTGTAGAGATCCCCACGGCCGTGTGAGTCATGTGGCGATCTTGCACCAGCTTCGCAGGGGACTTCTGCGAAGACATGATGATTTCATCGCCCGGTATCCGCGCAAGCGTCTTCTTGCTGCGGTACCCCAGGCGGCCTGCACCGGTCTTGCTCCTGCCTGCAAGTCATAAAGACTTCCATGAGCTATGCAACCGAATTCCGCATGCCGTTGAGTATCCCGTGTTAACTTTTTGCGACGAAGATTTGGTTGAGCGACTCTGGAGCTCAGAAGCAATGCATCAACTGTCATGTTCTGTAGGTAAGCGGCTCTTTTGAAGGCCGGGAAAAACTCATCGGCAATGTCACAACGGAAGACAAAGCAAAGGATAAAATATGCTGGGGAGCCAGCGTCAACACATCCCAAGTAGGTGGGGTTCTCAATGTCAGGCATCTTCACAGAGCCAGCTGGCCAACCAAAACTCTTGCTGCGATACTTGTCGACTGAATGTTGCACGCAGGATGTCAGCAAGCAGATATCTCAATCGACACCAAGCAGTAAGCAGAGAAGAGGTTATTATTTGGGAGCATATCAAAGCGACCCTAAGCCCGGGCCCCCAAGGTACCCAACTGCAAGAAGTGTGTTCAAGCCTCTGTCGCACCCTGATAAGACCCCCTAAAAACCGAAGTACCGTAAATGGGCCCCAGTGTTGGCTGGCCCCGGCTGTGGCTGTGTCATCAGAAAAAAATCCCAGGCATTCCGGGATTTCATGCTGCCGACAGGAGCGGGCCGGGGTCTTCTGCGGTGGGCTTCGCGCAACGGCCGAACCTTCCCAAGGCTGACGGGCAAAGGGCTCCAGGGCATTTTGGGGTTCTATAGGGTTAAACATGACCCAAGGGCTTTAACTTTAGCCTTTGTTACGGCGTAAACGGTCAAATTATTGGTTTTGAGCAGGAGAGTTTAGGATAAAAGGGTTGAGGGGTGAGCTTCGCTCAGGCTTCAACAGTCAGGGCTGTGACTGGCAGGGGTCATGGGAACACATCCTGTTCACCGACTCTAGCTTCGTGCTTGCAGATGGTCTGGCAGTAGGTGTAGGTGCGGTTTCGTCGAAAACACAAGACGGCAGGGCCAAGCCCCCCAAAAAAACGGCTGTAACTGTTTGTGCAACGTGATGGCTCAAAGCGTGGCATGCCTCGCAGTTGCGAAGGGCGTGGCTGCCACCAACCTACATACGTCGCATTCTTCTAGTCAGGATCTGATTATCGGGTCTCCAACAATGTGAATTTCCAATGGAAAGAAGCGCTCTGTAGTCAGATGTCTAGTAGGTGGTTGAACACCCCCGAAGCTGGTCCCAACTGCGGCAGTTTCATGGGCTCAAGGTTTAGATTTGTTTGGTTCCGAGTAGCTCTGAAAATTGGGAACTTATATGGAATACTGGTACTGGAAATACATATCAACCTGAAGCTGCAATCCTGAAACCGAATATTTGGAAGGTCAAGCAACTGGGCATAGATGGACGTGGAATTCGGGATGGCCTCGAGCAAATGCTTCACAGGTTCTTCATTCTTCACTGCTTATCCGCACCAGAGCTGCAAAGCGGCTAATACAGGGGCCTTCATAATTAGAAAAGGGTTTTGGGGCCCATTCTACTATACTTATAATAAGGAACCCCCAGCATAGCATAGGTAATTATTAAGGCCCCTGCATTACAGCCCTTCGCGGAGTTCAGCCGTCCAGGATCGAACAAAATGGTGGCAGACCCGGTTGCCACATGATTGTAGTCAAGAGCCTTAGAGACACCAGCTGAAACACCATCACACATCGTGCAGGTGACCATGAGTGCACCTTCTGAGCTCCCCTGAAAATGCGCAACTGCTACCCTAAACCCTAAAAGTCGGCGATCCCTGGCTCTTTAGCTCCTTATTTAATAGGGGTTCTTGGCTCCTTACCTCCTCCAATATCAAAGGTTAGTAAAGTCCTTGAAAAGTTCACTTTGGAACCTCCTCCGCGGGGACTTGGCTCTTCGTCGCGAAACTCCTCAGAAGACCAAGTAACGTGGGAGACTAGAATAAGATTTTGGGGGTTCCTATTTATGATTATATGTAGTATAATAAGGGTTTTGGGGGGTTCCTTATTATGATTATAGTATAGTATACCCCAAATCCTAAGAAGTATAGTGAATCTCAGAAAGCTGGAACAGGGAAACAGGATGATTAGTGCTGGGATCCCCTATGCTCTACCTTGCGCGCATGAGGATGTTGATGTTCCAACTTTGTGGCTTCTACTTTCACATGAGAGACAAGGCTCTGCGTACACACTTGACGCAAGAGTCGCTTGTCATCTGGGAGTGAAGTGGGCCTACTCTAAACTCAAACTAGTTAAATCCTTTGTTAACGGGCCGGCCTTAGTACAGCCATAAATTAATGAGACCCTTATTGCAAGGCCTTCGAAACGGGACATAACGGGACCCTAAATAACCGAAAATCCCTCCATGTCGGAAGCCTTTTTGAATTCGGGGGCCAGTCTAGTCTCGAGATCGCCCTGGAGAAGAGTTCGGGGCGGTTCGGGTTAATAGGGATCACGGGAGTGTGGGGTTTAGGGGCTTTCTGTCACTCACGCTCGGCACAGCCGAGAACAGAGTTCTGGGTTAGTTCCGGAGAACTCCTCGGCAAGTCATTTCGACAGCATCCCACAACACTTGCAGCAAGTACGACCAAGGCCGTTGTGTGCATGTGCCGTCATATACATGCACACAACTCCCGGATTCGAGGCTCCAAAGCTGAACACATCGCAAGAAATGGGAGTTTCCGAAAATAGGGGACCCTAACATTGTACCCGAAATAGTAGGATCCTTATTATAGGGACCACGAAATAAGGTACCCCTAATTTTCTGAAACTCCCACATGGGTCAACCATGTCGACCCTGAAAGCGAGCATGAACCTCACAAGACCCCATCATGTGGCACCCCAGACTTAACTTAAATCAAACCAGAGCCCTTCAAGCCCAAACCTTAACCAACGAAGAGCTGCAACCTAAACCTAGTATCCCAAAACGACCCTAAACCCACTCAAAACCAAGGCTCCTGTAGAAAGTCTGCTGTGGCTTTGCCTTCATGAGCCTTAGTAGGCTCTCCGGTCGGATGCCAAGCTCCATGCGAATTAAAGCAGAGGGATTTAAGGCCCTAGGGCCTCAAGGTCGAGGGTCTTGCGACTTTTTTCGCGCGGGTTTTGGCATTCAGGGTGATTGGGCTTTACGGCTGTCGGAGTCGATGCCCACACTCGACAGCTGCCGGCAGGGCATCTCCGATCGTAAGGGAGGGACAAAGGCTATTCGGGTCTATAGGCGATGCTCTTTCTGCTGAGGGATTTTCTGGTTGAGGGGACAGGATCGTGGTGCCTTTGGGCTCTAGGGCTTAAGGGTTTTAGAGTCTGTGTGTACGGGTTCACCAATTCAAAGTCTTAAAATGCTAAGATATCTATAAGCGGCCTTTCGAGAAAGGAGCGGCCCATACGACCTTTATGGGTGCTTGAGATTGCTTCCGTCCATACCGTGCATCCGCACATAGGATGTTGCCGTAGCCCTCCAAAATCCTGCTGTAAATTCCCCGCGCCTCTATGAACCCCAACCCAGTTGAAACCAACGTGCGCAGTCACCCAACGGCCTCTGCGTCTTGCATGCTTTACTCTTAGACGACCCCCGCCCGCGATGCCTAAATCACTGCCCAGCAGCGCGCCATGCAGGAGGGGCGACGTGTCCATAGCTACTCGATGCAAGGGATAGCCTTGACCTCCGAATGCAAACTGACGCAAATCTTGGCTCGAAGTTTGGGAGATGGATGCACACTGGTTGAAGGTCCTTGGGGCTGTGGACGGTGGACTTGGCGAGGCACAGTTAAATGCCTCAGGCCACCCTCGATGTTCTGACCGCTCTGCGGCGGCAAACTCATTTCTAGAGTCCTTGAACACGCTACACATGCAAGCCCTGTCTGAGGCGCCATGAAGATCTAAGCCTGTGAGATAGGACTGACCAAATTGCCGCACAAAGTGGACGGCTGCTTATGGCATGCCTCTATACCAACATCCTGGTGGCTAAGCTGATGTCGGAAACAGCTGGCCGGAATAAGCTTCTGAAGCATGGTCTTTTACAACTGCTCTGAGTGTGTATAATATATATATATATATATAGTTTATATATACATGATTAGCAATACCATGTTAAAGGGCTGCACAGGGAAGTAATGGGGAATCTGGTCACTCGGATACGAGTCACTGTATACTTCTCCATGCAATTGCCCTGGCATTGGCCGGGCATCTGTTCGGGTTACAGAGCCCGAAAGAATCGGACTTGAAGATCCAGGTCGCTGCCCCTAAGTTCGGGGGTTGGGGTTTGATGCTTGAGGATGCCAGGTGTACAGCAGGCGCAGTCAGTAAGGCCATACATACCTCAACTCGGGTCGTAAGCATGTATAGCTCTGAAGTTGCCTTACTTGTAACCCAGTATACCTACATCTATGACCCTTAACTAAAAGGGGGCGGGCCATCATTGGAGCCGGGACGCTGAGACATGGATTCTGCGACGCATCTTTGGGTGCAGACCTTCAGGAAAAAAGTGACTTCGTGACGCATGTGCATGTGCCAGCCATGTTGAGGGGTTGGGGTTTCGACTAGCACACTCGCACGAGGCAGGCAAGACTTCATGACCACTGGTCCAAACGAATCTGCGGAAACGAGATTGTTGCACTGAACGGCCACCGTGAACATAGCATTATGCATCTTATCCGAGGGCCTATCCCAAGCCCAGGCACAAACTCCCAACACAAGCTGGCAAGTCGGCGATGAATTCTACTTTGAACATCTAACCATGAGCAAGGCATGCCAAACCCAGTAAGCCTAGACTGCCTAAGCCAAACACTAGACTGATCCCGAGCCTAAAAGCAACATGCCCAATCACTCATGTGCTCTACTATATATATCATCTTACAGTCAGCAGAAGAGAAGTGTGACATAACCCCTGTCATGACAACATATGAAAACACTGATCTCCTCAACCGTCGGAGACTCGTGGACTTGTTCAAGCAACCTCTCTCGCGTACACAGCACTCGCGATTTCTTGGGCTTGTGCGCGCAGAGGGGATTGGTTTCGTACAGCACAGAATCAACCGTCCGGGAGACACACACGTCTGCAGACGGAGAGACGGACGGACAGACAGACAGGCAAACGACACGCGGACAAACAAACGAAAAGACAGCCAGACAAAGAAGGGTGTGCGATGTGCAGGCGCTCACTACGCACTCTAGCAACAAAACCTCATCCGAGAGCAGATTTGAGATCTCATGCTTCGCCGAAGTGCTGCCAAAAGACAACCCTCTGCTCTAATGAATGTGAGATCGAAAAGCGGCAGAATCATCTGATCTTTACCCGCACGCCTCCAGCGACGTGTAACGTCCGGCGAAGCCTGCAGCACTGAGTTGCTGCAGGCACTGTCCCTCTCGGAGTTCAGGGCTTTTTAAATCCACGGTCTCGTGAATCGGATCTGGAAATGTGATGAGATATCTGGGTGCGGGCTGACTCTGGCTCTTGTCTGCCTCTTTTGCTTCTTTAGCAAGAACATACAAGAACACAATCAAGACCGGTGAGCTGACCTCGCTTCGGATGTTGCATAGCTGCTGAGGGCTCGCACCCTCTCTCTCTCTCTCTCTCTCTCTCTCTAAGCGGCTCTCGGGTATGTTTCTCTTGCTCGTCTTCCTCATGAGCAGCTGCACCCGCAAGGATCAGATTGCTGTTTGCTTCCAGCTCCCTCCTGCCTATACCAGATTCCTTCGTCACCTCAAGCCCGTCCGAAAGCCGCGAACTCAACTCCGAGCCCCTGGTGCCCTGGAGTAGCTACTGGAGCTGCTTATCTCACTGCTGATGCACTCTCAACCCTAAACCATCCAGAAACCCTTAAACTAAACCTGTGACCGTCAAACCGTGGACCCTTTTGCATCCTGAATAAACCCTAAGCCTAAACCGAAAAATCCTAGAGCCGGGCATCTGACCTTGAGCAGGACAGGCGCCACGGGCTCAGGTTCCACTTCTTGCGCCTTCCTGGGCCAGTCATGCCGTCTACCTTATGTCAAACCCTAAACCCCAAAATCCTAACCCAAAACTCGGAGCCCTGAGATCCCGTACCCTACAGAAGCCCTCCACTCCAAGTTTTCGACGCTCACACTCGCACAGGCAGGCAAGGCTCCACATAAGGATTTAGGGTTTTTAGGACCACTATGTTGATGTCCGATGTCCGTACAGCAACTGTTGTCAGTACAAGAAGCTAGGTCTTCTGGGCTGCTACAGGTAGGCAGTGGCATGACGGGCTTCGGAGGGGCTTGAAGCTTTAGGCTGAGGCTTCTTAAAAGGGTCCAAGACGATACGCACAGCTTGGGATCTGCATGGGTGTCGGTGAACGTTATGACATGTTCAGGTTTCTTCGGCACTCACAATTGGACTATCCAGGCGAGGCATGCAAGTCCAGAGGTCTGTTGAGAAAAGGTTAAAGAGCTGGAGTGATGCTTAGCGTTTAGGGTTCAGTAGGGTTCGGTGTTGCAGGGTCATGTAGCATAGAGCCTTCCAGTTCCAACGGTGCTTAGGTCCTCCAACCTCGAAACTCACGCCGTAGCGAGACAGGCCATTTGTTTGGGATGCTACACAGACCGGGTTGAATTGCAAGGATGCTACCGGCGATCAGCTGTCAGTGGGTGGCCCCAGTCAAGCAGACAAGGTTCAAGTAGTCATCCAGTAGTGATGCTTCGACATCACCTCTGTTTCGCGTGCCAAATGCTTGTGTGGACGGAAGGCCTCACAATGACAAGCCGTGCGATTCGAAGTTCGACGAATGCTGCGGCGCAAAACACGACCATTGTAAACGATGCCCCCGCATGGCTGTGATTGCGGAATGGCGTAATCTGTTATAACGCATACGCATTATGGCATGGTAGAGCCTGTTACCAGTACATGCTAACTAAAGCATGTTCAGGTGAGTGAGATACACAGGCGCTTCTGACCAGATATTCGTGGAGGAACGATCTGTCAAAGATGGGAAGGAACAAAGAACGTGCCAAACAGAGATGATGAGACATGAGTCAGCGGTCGCGCATGACAAACCGCTGAAGGGACCGAGAAGAACAGTAGAAAGCAATAATATGCTCACAATAGATCCAAAACACCTCGAACCCCACTGGCTTTGTTTGACAGCTCAATCTCCTGCCTTGCGCTGTCTTACTCTGAAGCTCTACGATAGGTGCCTTAATTAGAATAGGGTTTTGGGGCCAATTATACTATGATTGTAATTAGGAGCTCCCTGTACGTATTACTTTCGGCTTCTGCAAGCCCGCGCCAGCCTTGACGGCCGATCCTGGAGAGTGAGCCGGGGCAGCACTTGCCCCAGGACTCCCAGTCCACCTCCAGTGGCACAATGTCACCTGAGGCTGCATTTTTGTCGGGGAAGTTGATATGAGCAACTTGCACAACGAAGTGGACTTGATATGTAGACTGAGTAGGAGTTGCTTGTTTCTCATAGCTTTTCGCCACCCAGAGTTTGCACGGCCAAGTAATGCCAGAGAGCCTTTGTTGTGCCCTGCTCAATCGGGTGTTGCTCTACAAAGCTTCGCAAGTCTGGAGTTGGTGAGGTTTCTGCAACTGCTGAACTGAAGGTTTACTGTAGCATGTTTGGTTCCAGAAGGCCTCTCAACGATCTGAAACAGATGCATCACCTTAGCAGCTGGCTACGGTTACGGCTACGGTGCCTTCGCCCTCTCTGCGCCGAAACTCCGTGCCTAAGCTAGAAGCCCACATGCCTCCACTCTGAAGTGGATTGCCCAGGCACGCATCCCAGGATTCTTGGCGCGGATCATCCGCGGGACGGAGCCCTGGGACAATCGTGCTGTGAGGTGAAACGATGCCTGAGGCTCCTTGTCAACAACTACAGGCCGCAGCCAAGATCTGCAACCCCGAAGCTGAAAGAGACCACTGTCTGAAACACCGCCCGGGCAAAGCAAAGGCCAATTTCACGGTTCTGCTAAATCCTGCAGCAAACGCCTGGATCTCAAGCAGATATATTCAGGCTACCCATGCCAACGTTACAAGCACAAGTTCTCCTGCAACCTGCATAAAAACCACTGGATGCCAGACCCCTCTTCACAGCCCTACATCACTGACCGGGACTTCCTGTTCATTGGCCCAGATGATGATGGCAATCCTCTTTCCGGGGGCCGTGCCTGCAGCAAAGGGCCCGAAACAAGGCCTTGGGTCGCCTTTCAGAAGTCAACCCATGACATCCGACGTCCCGTGCTAGTAGCTTCTACGATCGCATTGAAGCTCCTTGGCTTCAAGAGAACTCCTTCATTCAGATCAGGCCATGACAGACTCTGGGTCGTGGATGATTCAGCCCCGTGCATGTGCATTGCAAGTAACTAGTTCCTGCTAGGACCACACCTTCTTCCTCGGGCGGAACGGCATGCTTGAAAAGGTTGTTGAAGGGCTCGTCGAAAGCAAAGATGTCACCATTCTCCTGCGCAGGCACGGACAATCCCGCAGAATCTGCGGCACGATGTAGGACCTATGTAGGACTAAGGTTTCCTTTGTTTTGGGGTATCCTTGAAACGCTGCGTCAAAAGAACTCAACCAGACCTCGTCGGCACTGCCTGTAACGAGACATTCCTGACGCATTGCAAAATCTCTCCAACCCGACGGCTCTGAACGGTCGCAATCAACCTAAGACTGCAATTTCATCCCAAGACATAGATTGATGAGCGTCACGAGCGACAGCACCCCAATTGCGCCTGTTTTGGGGATTCTTCTGACATGCGTCCCAAGGACATGACATGATGAAGAACGACGGCAAAGGAAGTGGCATCAATGGGAACGGCTATCGCAGAACGCGACTAGCCAGCACGCGCAGCATCAAGGGCGTGCGTCAATCAAGTACCATACACAGGTGTCGAGTTGGAGTGAATGAGGGGGCGAGGTTTCAGCGGTGTGTTGAGGTCGGCAAAGGTTCTGGCTCTGTCGCGAAGTTTAAATCCATAAGAGGCATAGCTGAATAAACTGGTTTAGGTGTTCACTCTGCGATACTACAGAACACCGAGATTTGTCCTTACAGTCACCGGTATATTGCAGATTCTTCTGTACTATAGGGGCCTTAATCACTAGAATAGGGTTTTGCGGTCCACTATACTATAACTATAATAAGGAGCCCCCAAAATCGTGTTGGTAACTATTTAGGCCCCTTTACAAAACCCCCATGATACCCCTTATAGTCTTATAGTAATCCTTCTAGACCCCTTTAAAAGGAACCCTATAGTCTATATATAGTGTCTGTAAACTTGAGATTGGAGCCTACGAAACCCGTCCTGGACCACGCTGTGCTCCTCTTTGGTCACAGGGTTCTGGAAGGTGAAGTGCCGCGCTTGTCCGAGGCTTACCCCCATGGTCACCTGAAGCTGCAAGGGACGCGTTTTTTTTCCCACCTACTCCTGTTTCAACACTCCTGAAGCTTGAGAGAGGGAGCAACAGATACTGACGTTGGTTTTTGCCTCTGGCGTGGCTAGAACCATCTTGTTTTGAACGCCTTGTTCCACCGAAAGGGTGGAACCGGCCAACTTGTCGACAGCTAGAACTATGCTGAGGGTTTAAGGCTTCGGTTCCGGAGTCTTGCGACAGGACATCGTGAGTCCTGAGAATCCGAACCTGGCACAGGCTTGCTTCACGATCCTAATACTAGTGCCGCTAATGAAGGTAGGAATACATAGGTGCCCACAGATGCCCGAAAGACCTCACAAGACATGCCGATCGCACACACAAGGTGCTCGGGCCGCTTAAAGCGGCCATGGCATCCTGACGTCTTCTGTTTAGGTCCTCCTATAGGAGCCTTAGTTAAGCGAATCGAATCCCTGCAGAGACGCTACGATTTCATCCTGACAGGGTTTAGGCTTTGAAGCTGTGAGTTTTTTCGCTCCTACCTAGCAATCTGTGGGTTGAAGGCTTTTGCATTCTCCATGCCAGCTTCACGTCAGATATGTGCTGGAGTCCCGCACGCGGCGAAAATGAGGCTGTGGTGGGTGCTGAATGTGCTCTGCCCTCCAGATTTGTGCCGAGAAAGAGAGAGAATATCAGAGGGAAGACAAACAGACAAACTTGCTTGTTGTGGCTTCGCTCTTTTGAGTATTCTCTCCATGGCTGCTCCTCTCCCCCAGTCTTGACCCCATATTGCTGGTTCTGATCGGATCCCGGGCTTAGTGTACACACAACCTGATCAACAGCGGATGTAGCAACCTTCGATTGGTTTTAATGACTTGTTGTGTTCGGGTGTGTGTGTGTGCGCGTTAGTGTGTGCATACTCGGTCTATGTAATGATACCCATGCTTCAACATGTCATGTGTTATGTACTCATACAAATAAACCGTTAATGGCATTCGGAGCCCGCAAATCGGGATCTGAAATTGACATGCAACATTCCCGGCGAAGACAATACTACAAACCAACAAATGCCCTGGGGGCTCAACAATGTGGTTGTCCGGGCCAAGCTGCTGTAGCGCGTGGGGTGCGATCCTGGTAGTTGTCGTGGTGCATGGACTTCATGTCGTCCTCGCCTCTGTACCTTGCAGAGCAGTGATGTAGCAGTGTGCACACCGTTCCTAACGCTGCCGATCTTATTCTTATACTTTACGGCTTCTAGGGCTTCATCTATGAATCTGAAGCGCTGAGGCGCAAGGATAGGGCCGAAAGCTAAGCGCTGAGCTGGGAGATGACGATGTCGAACACGAAAGCATGATTTCCCCAAGACTTCACTTCCATAGTCTCTGGTCTGCAGTGCCCAGCCCAGACTCAATGGCCGAACAAGAACCTGCAAAAGCCTGTTGATGTGGCGATCGCGCGTTGCGAATGCAAACTTATCACGAGCCCAACATGATTTCCCCATCGTCTGCCAAGGGCACAAGTTCGCCCAGCAGTCGACCAATGTAAGATCGAAGAGGCCCAGGACATGCTTCACGACACGCACAAACGCCTCTGGGAAATGGAAGCGCCGGCGCTCCGATGGCATCGGAGTGTGACTCATGATCAGGGCCAAGGGCTTCGGTGGAACCTCCGTTAAGTTGTGCCTGTTTCTGCTATTGCTGCTGCTGCTGCTAGCAGCAGCACCATCCTCCTCCTGCGGCCGCTGATGCTGCCTCTTCTATTGCAACCATAACGACGACGATGATGATGATGATGATGACGATGACATCAAGCAGCACTAGCAAAAACAATCTGATGTCATGTGTGCTGACACCAACCTTCGACCTATCAGAACCAATTCTTGGCCTTTCAGACTCTCTGTGCCGCAGCTCTCAATCGACTGCAGGCCACGCCTGGGACTCGGACAGCGCCTCGCCATAGATGACCTTGTGCTTCCTGCTCCTCGTTTCGAATCTCTCGACCACGACAGGGTTTAGGGCCTTTAGTGTTTAGGGTTTCGGCGCTCACATTCGCACTCTACGCGAGGCACGGGAGCGAGGACGAGCAAAACCCGTGCAAGAATTAAGCATGCATATCATTCGCTGCTGGCTTTCGCCTTTCGCGCCCTAGCAGCCCTAGAAAACCATTGACCATAAAGGCTGGTGACTGGAGCCCATGTCCAACGGCCGTAGTACAGACATCCACCGCCCGCTACAACCACTGCTCTACCACGAAGCTCAACTGCTTAAGTGCCGGTTTGTTGGTATTTGGCTGACGACTACCTGCTACTCTGGCTCCTACGTGCTACTGCCACGAGGTCAGCCGAGATCGTACCAGTTTGCATGACTGGGCATGCATTCCCCACTTCGCGGACGGTATCCCAACACGTTGTTTGTTCATCTGTCACTTTGGGGCGCACGACCATTCCAGGTGGCATTGGAGCTGAGGGCTGGTTAAAGTATTTCCATGTGTAGAAACGAGAGGCACTGGACCTTGATCACTCGAGCCAAGATGGTCTGGGGGTTCAGGTTTATGCAGGATTTAGGGATGGGCATGTGGATTTCCAGGCCCTGGCGTCGTAGAGTTTGGAGTCTGATCTGATGACCTTTGCGCTTGCTCGGCTGAAGGCTGAAGGGTTGGGCGTGGGCCTATAGTCCCTTTGTTTTTCATCAGGACTTGTGCAATCGCCCACCGGCAGTCCCGTCAACCCTAAATCCTCTGTCGATTAGATCCCACCGCGCCTGTGAAAGCCGAGCGCGTCCCCGCTGCGTTTGTAGCTCGCCTCCTTACGTTCTGGGCTGTCTGGTTCTTGGTGTTTTAGTAGGGAATGGGGGAATGGATCCCTATAGTAGCCCCTGTACAATCCCCAATACTATTCTCTGCAATCCAGTCCCCCATTCCCTCCATTCCCTACTAAGCACCAGACTGTAGTGTAGGGTGGGGTTTTTAGTTTAGCAACGATTGCTCGCATGCACGCAACACTGCCTGACTTCTGCACCGACACCAGCAAGTGTGCTTTCAATGCGTTGAGCCTCGACAGCTCAAACCAAAACCTCCCCGAAGTACTGTCAAACATGACCCTGACCCCAGAGGCGTCTCGACGTGATCGGGGCCGGGCCTTCAGAAAGAAAGTCTCGGCAGCCCGACCTATGAATGGCTTATGGGCCCTCTACAGGCTGAGGGTCGCGTAGAAATCTAGAGGCCTGGATGTCGTTGGCCATCAGTTCCAGGAGGCGCAGGTCGTCGCGGGCACAGCAGATGCTTTTCAGATGGAGGCAAGAGCCCGCGGGAGGATGCTGTAGAGCCCTGGCATGCAGTGTGTTTAAGGAGGGGAAGTTGGAGGTCCGAGGTGTTTAGGTGTCGGGGTGTTGGGGGCGCAAGCCCTGCGACATCCCCGCCTCGGCAGGACATTGATGAAGGAGTGGTGCACGCGCTCATGGCAGCGTGCGAGGGCACCCACATACTCTCGGGTACCTTTGCATTTCGTGGCAATCATGTGCAGGACTTCGGGGTGGCGTTTGGTCTCGCAGGTTCTGCTCGCGGCATGCAAGTCCTGCTGGGAGCTCTCAGGCAACGGTAAAGCTTCTGCAAAAAGGGCTGAAGACCGAACAATTTTCTGCAAGTTCGGTTTGGTGATGTTTGAGCTTTGGTCCGGGACTTGACTGTGCGGTTGAGCATCCCATATGTGGGGCCTCAAGGCCTAGACCTGCTGTGCTACTTGCGAGTCGGCAAAGACGGAAGCTGGTAATATAGGGTTTTAATACTTAAAACAGGGTTTGGGGGTATATTATACTATAGTTATAACAAGGAACCACCGGAGCTGTGAATGCTTCTAGTGAGCCGCGAAACAAATCCAATAGAATACGAAGCCTGGAGACCAACTAAGGCTTCGGCCGGGCTCGCGCAGATGTGGACCCACATGCACCCGCATGGCTCCAGCCCGCTTCACAGCCGACCAGAAGGATTGGCTCATTCCCCGTAGGGTTGCACCAGAGACGAGACAATCTGGAACGAGTGGGGGTTGAATATGGTGTGAGTCTTGGCTATGTGTGCAGCGTGGGAAATTTCATCTTGCCCAACACCTGGGGCTTGGACTCTACGCTTCTACGAAGGACCTTCGCAATGCTGCTTAGGACCAAGGGGCTGCCGCTGTGCTCTCGAGACGAGAAATGCAGAAAGCCATGAGCTAGAACAAGTCGGAGCGCTAGTCTCTTCCCCGGACTCTACAGACCTCCTGCGGCCTGCAAAGAAAAGTCGACTTTGCAAACCTGCTCACTGCCTAGAGATGCACGGACAGATGCCCGACCCCAATGCCTAAGCACCCTGCTCAAACCGTAGCCTTGCAGAACCCTGTCTTCGCTTGTGAGTCTGATATGTCTGATTGCCTTAGGGAGACGGCGAACCGAACTTGGTTGGCCTGGAAGCCTTGGAAAACGCCAATACCTAGAGTCCTAGAGCCCTTTGGAATCAATGACGATCAATCATGGAAACTGTTAAACGTCCCACTGGCCTGCCTAGTCTAGTGAACCCTGAACCACAGACTTCCCCCAAACCCTCAATCCTTCAAAGTTAACTCCACGTGCGAGCTACGCTCAGTGTCACTGTTAAACCCATATGGGCAGCATGATCCCGCAGGGCTACACCTACTTCTCCCCATTCTATCCCCATTCTCCATAATACTGGCGGTACGGAAGCACCCAGAGTACTCTACAGGCCTTCATAATTACCTGTACTATTTTGGGGCTCCTTTTCGTAATTGTAGTATAACTAATGGCCCCAAAACCCTATTCTAATTCATAAGGCCCCTATATTAGAGTACCTTAGAGATCCCCTCTGGACCCGAAAAGTAACCCTTTGGCCCTTTGGCTACTACCCCCTTTAAAGGGACCCTACGCCCGACCTCGCAGGATTCGCCATTGGCGAGAGCCCACCGCGGTGAATCCTTCGTGCCCTCGGACTCTGGGCTTTGCGTTCTGAAGATTGGCGCCTTGAGGGACTGCACCTACTCAGCCGCCCGCGGAACCAGAATAAACATAGTATTCTTATTGATCCGCTTAAGTTATATTACAAGAGAAACAGACATGATTCCTAAGAGCAGAGAAGGAGGGAATGCACCTAGGGGACGCAGAAACCTGCATGTTGGAAGTACGCCATCAGTACGAATGGACTTTGCAAAAACCTGCTCCCTGCCTGGTGATGCATGGACAGACACCCAGAACCCTTGCAGAAACCTGGTAATGCACTTGCACCATCTTCGCTTTGAAAGCTTGATCGCCTAGAGAAGACGGCGAACGGACGACCCGGTTGGCCTGAAAGCCTTGGAAATGTTGTTACATAGAGCCCTGTAAAACCAATCACGGTCAATAACGGAACATGTTAGACGTCCACTAGATCCCCAAACCTGGTTGTGGGTGCAGGGTTCGATGGCTCAGGTGTGATGTGTTGCACTCACAAAGCTCGGCCTTGTCTGGTGAATAAGTCATAAGCTGTGACACCATCAACACCAACACGAACACCGCCAGCAGCAGCAACAATAGCAACAACAACCACAGCCACAACTGAACCACAGCCAGAATCAGAACTGCAGATGCAACCACCACTAGCACCAAGAGCACCACCATCACCACCACGACCGCGAGGACGACGATGACTACAGTGACGACAGCGGCCAAGTAGCCGGCAACACAAGTGGCAAGAATGATTAGTCTTGATCTGTGCACCAAGAAACAGCCACAAGTGGCCGCATAAACATGACAATGGCGCTAGCATGCAGCTTCACCCCGCCCGAGCCGCGAGCACAAGCGATGCTGTCTGCCGCAACGATGTCTCGAAGATCGCAGGGCCTCTGCCGGCAAGATCTGATTCTTGGCGATATTCGGAGCAAGCGTCTCCCAGCAGCTTCTCCCGATGATGACTCATATGACGATGATGTGCATGTGTGGTTGCGATGATGATATCATGGCTGGCCGAACTGAGACAAAACAACAGCAAATGCGCAGTTCGTTTCGATCGGAAGGTAGCTAATGTGCTCTGTATTCTGCAACCGACCGACACCTACGCACGCAATGTGCCTAGATCACAAAGCTCATGTCGGCCGCTGAGGTGGGGAGTGAATTTCATCCCAATAGCCCATCATGCCTTAAGTGATTCAGGAGTGGCAGCACGCCAAGACTCTGCGGAGTTGCGGACACTGCGCGCCCGGAGCGACACGAGATCCACAGTATGCTGTGCAGAAATTTGCTGCTTCTTCTTGGAAGGCCCCAGAGCCTCGAAGCGCCATCATGAACCCCAGCATCGAAACCCAAAGCAGCACAGCAAGCCCTGTCCTGGCAAACCCGTCCCTCTGAGAGCTTGGCCCCTGCTTGTGAAAATATGCTTCCGGTGGTATGAGCTTCAACCTGATGGCTGAGCTTGACGGGGGCAGGGAGGCGCGTATATACTGTACCAGTGAACCGTTCTTGTCAGATTGGCCACGGAAGATAGCATACCGATGGGGGGGGGTTGACCGTTCTGCACGTAACTTGATCTCCGTGCCGCCGGCCGGGAGGCTGTGAAGTGCAATGGTGAGCCCTCGCTGGGGTTTTGGCACGCCGGAAGTGTCTGGGCCGAGGTAGTTGATGGCGAAGCCTGCCGAACAGGGTACTTGGGGGGTTCATGGGACTTAGTAAGTACAGTTATAACTACCCTAACTGGGGTTATATCCAATTGTAAGTAGAGTTACCCTGTTTATAACCATAGCCATAGTCACCACGTCCCATGAACCTTTAAGTACTCCATCGACAAGGGTAGAGTACAAGAGATGATACACTGAATCCATTGCCAAATGGTCTTAAGCGGAACAGCACCCCATAGTAGCGATCGTGCGTTTGTCGCAGATGCCCTCCTACGTTGACTGAAGGCGCCTATCTGAAATCCATGGCTCCCCAACGGTGGCAAATTGACATAGAGCACTGGGCAATCCGATGGCTCCTCATGTTCCGAGAAAGCTTCTGCTTGGTCTTCGAGTGACAAACCTATCCGTCTTTGGCAGGAGGCTCTTGAATTGTCAGGATGTCACTGCTTTGATGCGGTCCGTTGAAGAATGGATTGCAGGCCATTCCGCTTAAGACCTCTGGCCCTGGAAACTTGAGCCCAGCCCTTTGTGGACAGAGGTGCGGTTTCCTGCCCAAGCCGGCCTGCTTGGCCTTCCAACTCAGTGTAGCCAATCAGGATGTCCTGATATCGCGTTGATTCGAATTTCGGCATGATCTCGGAATCTTCGCTTCTGCAATGGCCTGTGCGAAAATTTTGAACCCACCTGTGGCATCGTCAACCGTCGACTAAGGCCCTGACATGGTACCCTTCCTCGGCAAGGTAGCGACTGAATCCAACCCCTGGTCCGTGATCACGACATGATGCCGTGGGGAGTGCAGAGGAGGTGCGGAGGCTGGCATGAATACGGAAGTGTCATGAGTCTCCAGGTAGGCCAAGATCCAATACACACTTCAGTCAGAGCTGGCGCTGCTTTATATTGAGGGCCCTAGTAATTAGAATGGGGTTTTGGGGTCCACTATTCTTCAATTATAATAAGGAACCCCATAATAGTATAGGGAGTCATTAAGGCCCCTATATTTCGTTCATAGGATGCGGAGCGCGCGGTCAAAACCCAAGCACAAGAAACATCGTCTGCTGAGAGCAGGTCTGCCATCACCACGGGCCGCGATGCAAAGCTGGTTTTGTCGGACCTCGTTAACACAAGAATAGGGTTTTGGGTTTAGGATTTAGGGTCAGCGTAGGGTTTTTGGGCGGTAGGTTAGACCTTAAGTTATACGTACATTGGGACTATGACTACGATGGAAGATTACTAGCCGCATTCATCATTCGGATCGTACAGTACAGAAACGAAAAAGCCAGCATGGGCACATCGGGCAAAATGGGTGTACTGAGTACTGATGACAGTGCCCTGGTCCACTTCTGCAGGTTCCTCTTTGACGCTTGCTCTCAAGTGGAGTCGTACTGCTCCTACGTTCCATCAAAAGCAGATATGTGGCCAATTGTCGGCCTCCGATTCTCAAGTTGGAATGCTGCTCCGGGATGGTTTAAATGGCTAAGCTCAGAACGTCAGAGTGTCTTCCTTGAGGATGACAACTCCATCGATCCTTGCGCACACGAGATGCGGACTTCTTCTGCTATTTTCGACTTGCATCTCTGAACGACAATTATGCTGGCGAGCATTTGTGATCATGCGTGCGCTAGCTGTGTCCGTGCCTGTTTCTCGTGAATTGTCTCTTCTTGGCTGCAAAGTATTTCTGCCTGTTCGTTTGAGTCTCCGTGTCTCACCTTCGCACTCGCGGTCTCTCCAATCTCTCCCTGCCTGTTCCGGCCAATGTTGTTCAAGCGCCCGAATTTGGCGAAGAATCACTACATTCTTGCATCTTTGCGCGTATTGAATTCTTGCTAGCAGCCTGCAGACATGCACCAGTCTGTCCTGTAATTCCTAGACTTCCATATTAATTCCCAATCATGGCCCACAACTCAATGGCATCGATCTCTCTTGGACATAAACGGAAATTGCCACCTAGTAAGTCAGGTCCTAAGCTCTGCGGCGCCGAGGCAGGTAATCTGGAATCTGTAGCGGCCTGAACAGAGGCTGCGCAGAACATGATGCGACGACAAAGTCTTGGAAAGGGGATCTTGGAGGGCGTAGGGCTTTGCAACAACATTTTTTGCAAAACACAGGAACAGGCATAGACCCAAAGAGAAAGCTTCAAGTCTTCGGGTTGTGGGACAAGAGATGGAGGATATCCTCGTTTGGGATTGATGCCTGGGAATGTTCAGATCGTACTGCCACAGCGTACTAGAACAATGCTCAAGGTGAAGCGAACCCACCGCAATGAGATTCGAGCAGGGCAGGAAGGGAAGCTGGAGAAAGCATGCTGCAAAACATGTCAC